TCGATAGACGCGAGTTAGAGAAAAATTATTTCAGCTCGCGCGGTATTTTTTCGGTCCGAGTAAATAAAACGCTTTTGTGGAGGTTGCGCTTAGTAAAAATCTTCAGCAGTTCCTACGAGTACCCTTAATATGCCATTTTTAACATATCTATAAAGATGTTTTTAATTTAAAGATATTTAATAATACAGACATGCAAGTTATGGATTTATGTTCAACATGTCTGCAATTTAAAGACAAATGGAAGAACATATGTTGTCATTATAAATGAGTTGATGGTGTAGCAGCAGTCCACAAAATTAGAGCAAATAACTTTTTTTTTTAATTATGACAATGCAAATGAAGTAGTAAAACTTCAGTTTTGAATGCCAAAAAACTATGTACTTTCGTATGCAACTGATTTTTTATTCGTTTGCAATAGTCCAAGAGAGTTCCAAACGTCTTCAACTTTTTTCCATCTGAATTCTATTCCCACTTTTCCCACATATAATAGTCATTTTTCCCAAATTTAATGTTTCTGTAATTATAGTCCAGGGAATGAAGAGAAAAATTGGGTAAAACCTCCGAAATTAAGCTTATTTCACTACTACTAACGTTATTTTTATAAAGTTTGAACTTTTAAAAACTACCTTTATTGATAAAAATATAAAATTAATAGTTTCTTTGACCTTAAAATATTTTTGTAGCGCATATAGGTATTATAGATAGAAATATTTTCAATAGTTTATGGTGTTATAAATAATTTATTACAATATTTCAACCCTTAAAAAACTACCCCTAATAGCAAAATATTTAAAAAAATTGTTTTTAACAGTTGAAATGATTTGATAGTACAAACAGGATAAATTAAATTCTTTTACCAGTTTATAATACAGTTTATAATTTATCGCATTGTTTTTAACCCTTAAAAAATACCCGCAATGACAAAATATAAAAAAATGGCTTTTAAATTATTGAATTATAATTTTTTTTCGTAATAACTTTCTTTCTCGCGATTTACTTTAATTTATGCATATTCAAAATTATTATTTCTTAATATTTTTTCATGCAGTCATAATTTCAAATTTTCAAATATAACCAAAATATTGATATGCTCCAAAAATTGAAGCGGTAAGGTACCGTTGGTTTTTTAACGATAATTTCTTTAATTTTAAAGCTATTATCCAAAAACGATTTTACTGAAAATTTTGACAGCTTAAAGTAGGTACAGTAAAATAGAATACTTTTTAACGCGTTATTTTTGAAATTTTTGAGGTTGAAAGGTTTGAAAATGACCTCCCCCCTCAACTGCAAACTTCTAGCAGCGACATCTCTGTTAATTTTTATCCTACATAAATAAAAAATAAATCAAAATATTCTTTAAAAAAAATCTAAATTTTTGTACCCTTAAATATTTTTCGTATCTTTTTTATTTTTAAAGTTATTTTCAATATGTTTTTTTTTTGGAATTTTTTTCAATCAAAAAGTAATATTTTAAAAAATATGCATTCTAAACCACTTAAACTTGTATAATATATTGTTAGCACATAAAAAATGTAAATTGTAGAACGATTAAGTACCTTTAATTTTAAATCTCGTGAAAAATTCATCAGTTTTTGTATTGAGTTTTTCTCCGAAAAAGCGTTACATTTTAATCTAACTCTGTTAATTTTTATGCTAATGACTTGAAAGTAAAGTTCATTTTAAAGATTTTTTAAAGTACTTTAAAAATTGTTCGGTGCATTTTTCTTGAAAAATAGAATTTTTTTAGTTATTTTACGTCAAACGCTTCCAATTTTGTTTCTGACATGAAATTATCTTCAACCAGCCGTATCTCAGCATCTATTGCACCTACATAAATGAAAAACAACTCAATCTTTTTCTTTTTCTATAAGCTTCATTTTCTTCGTGATGTTTTTTTTCATGGAATGTCTATTTTCCGAGTTATTCAGAGAAAAAGTACTGAAAAAGGTCTTTTTTTAATAAAAAATGTATATTTTCAATCACCAATTACTCAGAAAATAATGACTAATTTATTGCTTTATTATTTATCGATTCCTGGGGTTATTTTCAATATTTTATTTTTCACACCATCCTCCACCCCCTGGGCAAAAGCGCTCATCGGCACTATATAACTTTTATTTTTTGAGCTATTTTCTACTTAGAGTCCAAGGTTCACGTCAATCGGTTCTATCCGAAAGAATTCGGAGGGAAAACCCTTGATTTCCTGGACTATTATTGACATATAGCACAGGGAGACTACACAAGGAGAACGAACTCCACCTAGATAAATATCTTACCAAATTAGAGTGCGCTAGTGTCCCATATGCAGCGAAATAATGGAGGGGAGAATTTAATAAATTCTTGAAAACAAATTGCAATAAGTTTTGTCAATTTTCCGGTATGAGTTCGGCCTCCTCGTCTAGTCTCCCTGATATAGCATATAATATTTTCTTTCTGACGTTTTATTTGTTTCAGATTATGGGGTTACTTTTAACTTTCGCCAACTCAAAAAATTGAATACCTATGGGCGATTCTCTGAAATTTTTCGAGAAAAGTTGCAGACTCCACTTCAGTAATGTGTCAATACCCGATTGGCATGTAAAGTTGTACGAACAATGATAGTAAATATTACAGAAGAAATTGTTATACTGGATGAAGTCCCATAACCAGTATTCAAAATGTAATAAATAAAGTCTTAATTGTTTGTTTTTTGCCCTTAATTTTACTCCTAAAGACAAATTCATAAAAGAAAATGACCTCTTAGCAAAGATTAAACCGAAAACGCGTATTAAAAAGCGAAATTATAGTATATTTCAACCCAGCCATTGTAATCTGTTGAACAAGGAGTTCATTTTTAGCAGAGATTCTTAATGTCTGTTGAATGAAAAGCAGGCAAGATAGCAAAGTCAATAAAGAGTGGTGGAAGTGCGCGGTTTGCCCACCTCTTGCATAAAGTCATGAGGTTCATCTCGTTTGATTGAAATCCTCTCTTATTTCTTGTGTTCCATTGAAAAACCCCACTCCATGACTTCATTGTTTTAGCCGGCTCATGCATACTTTCATGCGCCCTTAGAATGGGAGCCACCAATACTTTATATAATAGATTTAGGTGAGTAATTGGGCCTTTATTTTACAAAAGGTTTTCGCAGGAGGAGAATAAAAGGGATGCCGTGCCTTACCTGCTGGAATTTCCCCCGCAACAAGGGTCCTCTGATTGAAAAAACGATTTGTAGAAATTAATTCTTATTTTATGTTGAAACCTCCTTACAAATGCACTCCATTTTTTTACCGTAGAAGTATCCCAGTACCTATACATATTTAACTATTTCATTGTTAACAATTTACAAATAAAAATGGTAAAATTGTAAGTCTGTATGTTATATTGTCCACCCAACAACTTCACGAGAAACTTTAATTTGGCAAGTTTGTTGTAAACTTGTCAATAATCTTGCTGCAACTTTTCCTAGCTCTGTTCAAACTTGCTCCCTTTGTACACTTGCTACAATTTTAATTATGGAATAGACTGTTTTAGTGTGACGTCACATATTTAGGCAACCCGCCACAAATTGTCATAGTTGAAATTGTACAGACGAATCTAACCCTTGTGTACTATTTACATAGATATAAAAATGAACAGCTTCAAATTAATTAATTGCTAAAATTTTTTATGGTTATAAACTATTTTCTCTTTGTGGTTTATTTAACTCGCTTATTTAATAAATAAAATTACTAGCACATAATAATATCTTCTCTCAACTGATTGTTTGTTGCGATGTTACAAGTAGGCACTGTTTGCCAAAGTCACTAGATTTGTAACAATTGGCATTAATACATTTACGGAAATTGCGATAGCAACCGTTGCCTATTATTTGACGTATGTGACGTCACTACTAAAAAGGCCTATTATCAGTATGTTCTTTTAAATATTGCTATTCGCTTGTTTAGGTAATGTTATAATTGTAATTTTGTTGAAAATCATTTTAGAAAAACAAAATGGCAAAGACCGATTGTCGTAAAACTAAAGCAAATTGAACTTTACCTCTCCTTTGTTAAGTTTTATAGCATTCAATCTATGTCGGTCATACTATTTCTAAGATATTTATGACAAAACCATAATTATAAAGACATCAACCAATGAGCGATCGCATTATCTCAAGCATAGAAGTAACGGTTTGTCCATGTTCGTTGTAAACGAATCAGTAATATTGGTCACGGCAAGATTTCGGAATTTTTGTTCGACAATACCAGCCATGTAATGTTGGTTGCATAAGCTCGGCGGTCCATGGCTTGTAATTATTTATGCAGGTTCTGTAGTTAAATTAAAACAGTGACATTAAATATTCTAAAAAAATTACAATGACCTTATACAGTTAAATTAAAAATAATTATAATAAATGCAACTTTGGATTGTCCCCATTTTTACAAGCTTTTATTTAACTTATCTTGTTAGTCTCGGTCAAATCTAGCAACTGAATTTTAAGACAGTTATCCCCAACCGATTGAGCTCAAATTTTGCATACACGTTTAGTTTGGATGAGAATGCATGGTTAGCTAAGTGACGCCATTCTAAATATGACTCCCAAAGATGGCGGACCAGTTTTATGCACCTCCATGATATGGATATCAAATGAAAGGGTTTGCTGAGAAGAATACGAAAATAAAATGACGTTAGTAAAAGCTTGTTTTTATTTTTTTTATACATGAACTTATTCTAGCTGTGAAAATATTCAAAAAGATGTACCTATTTCCCCCTTTGAATATAATAAACAATTACACAAATAAACTATTAAAAATAATAACTAAAGTTAGAGAGTACCTACCTTCTAAAGACAAAAATATTCTTCTTTTAGCGGCAAAACCTTAAGTCTTTCGTCCTCCTACGCCACTGGAAAACAATTTTTTTTCGATCAAAGGTGATTAAATGTCAACCCTGAGTTAATACGTAGCTAGGACAAGAACAAAAAGCCACGTTTTTGTGCAAGTATATTTATTTATAAATAATATTTGTAAATAAACCTAAATAAAACATAACAATCAACATCTGTTTCTGAATAATAATTTGAAAATTAACAAAAAAGTGACTAGTACAATCTGCATCAGTACATAAAATATAATTAGGCATTGAATTTTAAGTAATCATAATGCTTAAACTATATACATTTATTTACCTATATACCTACAGCAGTGACTATAACAAGAATTCTTGTTATAGTCACTGCCTACAGTGAAAGGTAAGTATTTTCATGGGCGTAGCTAGGGGGGCACGGCCCACTCCAGAAGGCCTGGTACACACCCTAGAAAAAAAAGTTCCTATAATGTTATCTTTCTTATTTCGGTAAGACGCTGTCTGCGTGACCTTTTTTTTAAATCAAACGAAAGAATGTTTAGATTTTGACATTTTACATCGGTAAGTTTCGCTGCATAATTGCGTGAGCTTGTTGCCCTGGGCCCACCCCAAGCAAAAATCCTAGCTCCGCCCATGAGTATTTTAATCAAACGTGATAAAGGTATAATATTAAAATATTACAGGCACATTTCACCCTGTATATAGGATACCTACTCTACTTTTGCCACTCACTGTATGTCAATAAAATTATAAATATCAAATTACCTGGACTTTTACTAGTTTGTAGGTAGTTACATCACATAATGATTCCAAAATAAACTTAATTATTTTGTTTTGTTGTAATGGCTATACATGCACAGTTTATATCTAAATATCTGTAGATATTATTATTATTCTTATAATCACATCATCAGCCCTCGTTAACTGACACTTTTCTGAGTAAACTATGAAAACGTTTATTTTTAAATACTTATGGGCTTCGTTAAAAGTTGATAAATTATTTCCTTTTTATTATTTTTTTTAAATTAGAAACCTTTTAACTCGCCGCCGCTGGTCTACATTGTACTTGTATACTTACAGAGAAATACTTATTCAGGCAGCAGTAAAGCCCCTCATACACCTACGAATAAAACTGTGCAAACGTAACGTTGTACAACAGGCTGTTGTGCAAACAAGGTCCCCCATACACTATACGCATTTTTTTGCGCAAACTCCAGTTGCTTTTGTCTTGTTTTAATGGTAACATGAGGTCTCGCGACGCAGCCTATATAATTTCTATTGGGTCGAATGTTGGTGTTAAAAAATAAAAAGGAAGCAAAGGGTCTGAATGAAAGAGTGATTAAAGAAAAGATCTGTTTTTAGCCACGCAAATTTCCTCAAATAACTTCACAATAAAAATTATTTGCGAATGGACCTCTTAACTTTTGATGAATTACTAAAAATTGTAACATTATTTATAAAAAATGAACCAGTTATCACGCTTGAAAACAACTGAAGTGATTGCACAATATGTCGCGAGTAGGCCCGTACACCATACGACAGTTTCAAATTAATTTTAAACACTTTTGAATTTCTGAAACTGGTTGCAAAGCACCTTAAACAACACCATACACTATACAATTGTTTGCACAACAGCCTCAGTTGCGCAATTTGTTTGCAGGTGTATGGGAGGCTTAAAATTAAAATATGCTTATCACTCGGGGAAACAAGCAAAATTGCAACTAAAATTAGGGATATTTAAGATTTCGTCAGAATTTCACATACGGAAACTAGACGAATTTTGTGGAATTTATGTGATGTGGATATGATTTGAAAAAACGAGAAAAACTTCTAAGAATCCTAAAATAATTAAAAACTAAACACTCTCTCTTTATCAGCATAAAAAGGACAGTAATAAGTTTAAATTCAACTAATAGCGTTTCATCTTTCATCTCATGTGATCGACAGGTTGAAAATGTTGCTAACAAAAAATGCATGTGAAAAATAAGTGTACTTAATAACATAACCGTTTTTTTAAGGTTATTATTAAATTAAACGATCAGCAAAACCAGACAGACAATCAGTATTTAGTTAGCCTCCCGAGAGAAACTTTACGTGTTTTATTGTTAAAATTTGTGTTTAATTACAAAACAGCAAGGGTGTCGCCAAGAGGGGCAGGAGGGACAGCTGCCCCCCTTAGAAATTCGAAAAAAGTACAAACATTTTCTTAAGCTAAGAAAATATCAGATTGGAAATTTTTAATAAAATATTTTATTTACTTACTCTTTAATTTTGAAAATTAATACACGACTCTATTTACTTTATTAATGGCCTAGCAGTGATAAGTATACACAAAAAAAATATTTTTAAAAACCATGATTTTTTTAATAAAGTGGTAGAAAAATTTTCAAAAAATCCGAGAAAATTAACCTAATTTTCGCCAAATTTCTTAATTTTTTTATTATTTATATTTTTTTATGTTTTTCTTGTATTAAAAAAGTTTTATCAAAAATATTTCTAAAAAAAATTAACTCACTGTACCTATTTCTACCTATAATTTATATTTCCCCCATCCTCTCTTATCTTGCCCCTTCCTAGTCCATTGGCTGTCGACGCCCTTGTAAAAGTAGTGATTTTCATGTAGTTTATTGCAATTTTATAGTATATACATACAAGGTGGGCCATTAGTGTGAGAAAATAGAATAACTCCCTTGTTATTCATAATACATAAAAAAGTTTATATAAAAGTTGTAGAGAATCAAAATACCTAAAGGACAAAGTTAATGTAAAAACGGGACATGCGAAATATTACATTTTTTTAATGGAACACCCTGTATATTTTTAAACATAGGGATTTCTGAAAAAATTCTATATATGGCAATATAAACAGTTTACCATTTTAGTGCAGAGTTGCCAAGTTATGTAGAAAATTCTTCGAATTTTGGAAAAATTATTGTTCTATTTTATTTATATATCAGTTCACTTCAACTTTTATTAAGTATGTTCTACACCTAAAGTTGTTAGTTTTTAAGATATAGCAACATATCTACAAAAAACCTAATTTTTACTATTTTCGGTCGCAGGAAATGGCTTTAGAAAAAACTGTCACATTGTGTCAACTTGTAAGTTCATAATTTATCATTCCATTTTGAGTTAATTTTATTAGTTAATATTTATTTGTGGTATTCTATAAAATAATAAAAATTTCGTTTTTTCATAAATGTTGCTATATATTAAAAACTAACAATTTTAGATATGCTTAACAAAAGTTGGAGTAGACCGATATGTGAATAAAATAGAACAATAAAATACAGGGTGTTCCATTTGAAAAATTTTAGAAAATCAAGTTTAAACGTTCTACAAATTATAAAAAAAAATGCCCTGTATCAAATATCGATATTAGCCAAATAGGAGCCTTTGTCTAACATTTGCCTATAACTCTGTTGAATTATTTTGTTCCAAGTGTTAGTAGCTGAAAGTTAATACAACTTCTTCGGGGTCATGTTTTTTCCAAAATTCGAAGAATTTTCGACAACTTGGCAACCCCGCGCTAAAATGATAAACTGTTTACATTGCCATATATAGAATTTTCTAGGAAATCCATATGTTTAAAAATATACAGGGTGTTCCATTTAAAAAATGTAATATTTGGCGTGTCCCGTTTTTACTTTTCACCCTGTATGTATAAAATTAATTTTGTAGTTTAGGTTTCTTGATTCTGTATCACTTGTATATAAACTTTTTTTCTGTATTATGAGTAACAAGGGAGTTATTTTACTCTATCACACTAATGGCCCACCCTGTATATAGATACATAGTAAAGAATCATTACATTAATCATTACAGTGACTAGTGATTATTTTGAGGGCCAGAAAAAAATCAAAACTGTAACCCATCGTACCGGTACGTGAAATTTATGAAGTTTTGTACTTATGAGGGCTCTATAGCAAATAGGCGACCAGCAATACATTTTTATAGATTTTATTGCGCAGTTTGCCGTTTTTGAACAAGCGACATTGTAAATTACAAATTTCTTTGCATCAAAAAGTAATTTGACTTCCAAAGTAAGTCCATTTCATAGAAAATCTGCGTTCAAATGGGGGAAAGTTTGTTATTTGTACATTAATTCATATTTGCACAAACTGTGTAATAAAATTTATAAAAATGTATTGCTGGTTGTCTATTTGCTATAGAGTCCTCTTATTTGTAATTTGTAGCATCAGTATGTTTACAATGTCAGGAACAACCATATCAGTAATTTTACCAAACAAATTATCAGTAATTAGTAAATTTATCACTAAACAAATTCATGATCAGAATCAACTATGATCAACATGGCTGGTTTATTTTGAATTGTATTGTCTGTCCGAATGACTAATATTCATCAATCACATAAGAATAAAAAGATTTCATCCTCGAAATCAGGCACAGCACACACGCAACTATCCTATACCGTTTTGTTATATAAAAAAATCAGTTATCTACAAGCTAAAACATTTGGCACAAAAATACGAAAATATGTTAATCACCTTAAAAACTTTTAAGTAATATCTACTGATCTACTGCATATGGGACTATCTCGAGGACTATCTCTAAGGAATTAATGATTTACGAAGAGCTCAGTTGAGAATAACTGATTTGGACACGACTTGATTATTATATGTATTACGGTAACATAAAAGTGTATAGAAAATAGTTGAAACAACAAATTTTCTCTACTATTTCCTTAAGTTTAATGAAACATTATAAGTATGTATAACGATACTATATAAAATATTATTTAATTAATATAATCAATAAAAAAAATTTGGATATAAAAATTAGAAATATTCTGCGAAATAAATTCAAAAATTCAATTATATTTCTTCATTTTGTTGATCGTTTACTGAAAATTAAATTATATAGCATTTTTCCTTTCAAAAATAGTCTGTATATACACCTACACCTATAAATATATTTTATAAAAATATAGAGTCCAAATAAATATCTTAAAAAAAAAACATTTTTAAGTCGGGGTAAATCTTATCTCATCTCAAAAAAAATATAATTTATAGAAGAATTGTAGAATGTTAAAAACTGTGACAGAGGATTTGAGCAGATATACAAATTTTCAAATTTCTTTAACATACAGTGCGTGATGGGGGTTGATAAGAACTTTGCTTATCCTGGGAAGCCATGGGCAGTAATCAAATGTGTAATAAAACATACAAGGCGTCCAAAAAATTTCAAAATGTGAAATTTGAGCTAAGCAAAGTTGTTTTCGTTAAAAATGTATTTAACAAAGTTGTTCGAGAACTCAAGGAATGCTTAAATACGGGGGATAGTCGGAAAGTCAATATACATCAGAGCATTTGGTAAGTCGATGCATTACTTGCAGGGGGTTATAGTACAAGTGATTTGTGATATATTTCCTTAATATACCATATTCCGAAAACAATTAGTTTCCAATCTACAGGGTGTTAAAGTTTTAATAAAAAAATGCAAATTTAGAAATATTGCGGAAATCGCTCAGAATATTTTAATGAAATTTTGCAGGCTTTGACAGTTAACAACAATACACATTTCACAATAAAAATATTGTTTTCAGTTTCACTAGTGGCGTGCGCACTGGATATTTTTAAAGAAAAAAATGATACGCCACTGATTTTTCTTAAAATAAAAATTATTTTTGAATTTCTTGTTCAATTTGGAAGAGAAAAGGTTTCTAGTCTGTTTTTCTTATGACGCACCATTTTCGAGTAAAAAAATTTAAATCGATTTATTGCATGACGTAATCCGGTTTCAATAATTTGAAAAATAACAGAAATTATGCACTTTTTTTTTGTACCTACCAATTTTATTACAACACATTATTAATAAAGTGACAGCTATTATTAATTTTGTCAAACAATAACAAAAACGAGTGCACAGCCAACCTGCTAATTTCTGTTTAAGATAGTTAATAGTGAATCTAAAAACTGATAAATTTTTTTAGACTGATGCTGTTAACTGTGAGGAGTAATAATTATTTTTTGTAATAAAATTGGTACAAAAAAACTGAGTGCATAATTTCTGCTATTTTTCAAATGATTGAAACCGGATTATGCCATGCAATAAATCGATTTTATTTTTTTTTACTCGAAAACGGTGCCTCATAAGAAAATCAGTCAAGATACCTTTTCTCTTCCAAATTGAACAGCAAGGCATTCAAAAATAATTTTTATTTTAAGAAAAATCGGTGGCGTATATTTTTCTTTAAAAATATCCAAAGACGTGCCTGTGCGCACGTCACAAATGAAACTAAAAACAATATTTTTATTGTAAAACATGTATTGTTGTTAACTGTCAAATCCTGTAAAATTTCATTAAAATATCCTGAGGGGTTTCCGCAATATTTTTAAATTTGCATTTTTTATTAAAACTTTCACACCCTGTAGATCGGAAACTAAGCATTTTCGGAATATGGTATATTAATGAAATATATCTTATACTATAACATCCTGCAAGGAATGCATCGACTTACCAAACACCCTGTATAGTCACCAAATAATTTTTATTAATAGCAACAAATTTGTCTTGTGAGTTGTAATGGAATCGGTAATGTTCCATATCGATATGCAACACAAATTTTTAGTGAAAAGTATCCAAATGTAACTGTAACTCGTGGAGCAGTTCACAAGCTATATAATTATAAAATTTGATACCACTGGTGATGTAAATAATATTAAAAAGATAAAAAAATATATCGATGCTGCTACTGTTGTAGTTATGGACTCTACAAGACAATCCAAAGATGTCACTCTGGAAAAAGTCAGAAAACATAGATATTAGCAGATGTCGTACTCAATTAATTTTAGTATACAACAAAATCTATCCATTCAAACCAGTGTTTAATCATAAATCGTTTGATGGAGATGATGGTTGTCGTTTGGACCTTTGTATAACAATGGGCGAGAAACTGATTGAAAACAGATTCTTTCATCACAATATTTTATTTACTGACGGATCAGCATTCACAACTAATGGCGTGGTTTCCTCTCAAAATTGTAGATACTGGGCTAAAGATAATCCAAATTTTCGATTAATAATAGTTAAAAAATTTGAAAGTAAATGTATGGTGTGGCATAATGTATCATAAAATAATTGGTCCTTACTCTTTGGAAGAAAATCTTAATCAAAATTCGTATTTGGAAATTCAATAATTTTGTTTTGGCAGAACTAGATAACGAAAATTTCAGAGTTCAGAAGAAAACTAATATTTCAACAAGACGGATGCCCTACACATTCCACACTTTTAGTGAGAAACTGGCTTGACATTCACTTCCCGAACAAGTGAATCGGATGCTATGAACCAATACCTTGGTCCGCACCAGCACCCGACTTGCCTCCATTAGATTATTTCTTATGGGGATACCTAGTAGGGCCGGCGGAAGGGGTGAAACAGCGAAGCAGATGTTTCATGCCGTATTTTTTAAGGGCGGCATTTTAAGACTTGATTATTAACTTTTAACTAATCTGAAAAAACAATTTTTGGCCCCGAATGCGTGCTTTGTGCTTTTATTAATTATTTAGAAATCAACGAGTTGCGCGAAAATTTCCCTAACATCGTAGTATCTTTAAGGATTTTAACCATTGCTGTGTCTCTGGCCAGTGGAGAACGTTCATTTTCAAAATTAAAAATTATAAAAAATTATTTACGATCAACCATGGCGAAGGAATGGTTAACAGACTTAGCCAATCTTGCTATCGAGAAAGATATAACAAATAATTTTGTGTACGCTGATATTATTGAAACTTTGTTAATGAAAAAATGTAGAAAAGTAGATATGTGATATGTGTAAAGATCTCGTTCTGACATTATTTAGTTTCTTTTTTGTTTTTATTGAATATTTTTATTTTTGGTTTTATTTTCTGTTTCTTATAATTTCTGTTTGTTTTTTTGCTAAAATATTTTTTATTTATTTTTGCCTATTGAAATATTGTTTTTATTTTTTATAACTTTTTATTAATAAATTTGTTATTTGTTCCAATGGGCGGCAAGCAAATATTTGCTTCAGGTGCAAATACCCTGGCGCCAGCCCTGATACCTACAGCAAAAAGTGTATTCAAACAATTTTGACAATAACATTGATTTACTTTAGCAAAAAATTCAGGAATCTGTTGCTACCATAAACGAAGAAATGATCTTGTTTGTGTACAAAGAATTAAAAAAAAAGATTAGAAAAATGTGTATTACTTGGAGGTTTACTAGTTGAATAGGACTTGCTTCGTTATTGGTGTTAGTTCCAAGTTCTATTTTGTTATTTCTATTTTTTTTTATTAGAAAGCTACTATTATTTGGTTTGCAAGCTACCGTGGCAGTTGTTGATGGTAGAACAAATAGTGGGCTGGTTGCCACGTTGTCGGTGGAGGTTTCTTGATGTTTCAAGAGACATATCACTCTTTTAAAAAACTCGAAAACTTTCAAAGTTACTTCTGAGGTAGAGAGCGATATGTCTCTCGAATTGTCAAGAAATCTAAACCGACAACATGGCAGCCAACCCGGAAATTGTTCTATCAAGCTAGTTTTATATTATATTAAATTTAAAATAAAAATTTACTTATTTTTTACAATTTCTGTCTGCTTTAAGGAAGATAGTTAAAAATTACGTCTTCTTTTTCGAAAAATGTATTCTTCCTTTTTTACTAAACCCCGTATCTAAGCATTTCTCGAGTTCTCGAACAACTTTGTTAAATAGTTTTTAAAGAAAACAAAAATTAAAGGCACTTCGCTTAAGGAAAATTCCACATTTTGAAATTTTTTGGACACCCTGTATGTTTTATTACATATTTGATTACTGCCCATGGCTTCCCAAGATAAGCAGAACTTTTTATCAAGAATAACTTTTTCTCGAAAAATCAACAACAAAAAAGTTTACAAGAGTGCGGTACCCCATCCGGGGACACACTGTATGCTCCGGATAAGCTTACACCCAACGTTTATATGAGATAATCCCATTGCGACAAACAGTTATAACACTTACTTTGTTACATTACTTAATACCCTGCCGAGTGAATAAAGGCCACAAATCTACACAATATTGCACTTATAATCTGAAGGCGAACAGCGCCATCTACTTGGGAGTCTCACAGAAATCCCGCTTGACGCAGCCTAAATTAAAATTCTGAAAACTGTTACCTCCTCCGGTCAAGTTGAGCATTTGCCTCAATTGGTCCATGGTTTTCAAGCACACCACCACACAGCAATCGTCACCCTTTTCCGCACACGATGTATTGCTGGACTTGATCATATTTATTACAGTCTCAGTACCGGGACACGTTGCATTGACACCTAAACCACTTGAGGTTGAGCCGGAGTCGACGTTTTGATTGGAAGCGCCGCAACAGCCAGATTTTTGCGTAAAAACTGCATTCGGAACAGATTTGCCACCGGAACACCGAGACATTTGCGAGCCGAGCGAAAAATTCTGGCTGGTCGTAGCGTTGCCACTACGACTACAACCGCAACCACTCTGGTTGGTAATGAAACCGTTCACTGGCTTAGAGGAGGAGCAATTTGATGCAGAAGCGAAATTTTGGCTAGGTGCGGCTTTGGCACAACCGTTTTGATTACCGATGAAGTTATTCCTTGGTTTAGAAGAGCAGCACGTAGACTGTGCGGAAGCAGGTGCGAAATTTTCGGGATTGCCTCTGCCGGCTAAATTTTTGGTGCTAGCTTGTTTGTTCGTACCACAACTTTGGTAATTTTCCTCGGGTCCGGTGCAACTTTGACAGTTGTTGATGGCGTCACATTTGCAGTCCGTACAGGCGCATATATTAGCCTCCGCCGTCAGATTTTTTATCAGATTCGCGTTGGTATTCCCTGTCTTGATGATGTTGTCGCCCGCACTATCTAACAGGTTTGTGGAGGTATCGAGTAAGTCGGTATTAGCTAAGAGATCGGTGGATTTCGATATAGGCACATTGCTTTGTACGGGAGGCAAATTGAGGTATGTCTGAATGGCCGTGGGTAGGGCCGTCAAAGGGTTCTCGTTAAGGTTCTCCTGGAAAATATTGGCTTGACTTGTGGTGTTTGCATAGTTTACTACATCCACCCAGGCAGACGACATCTCTTCATCACAGGCCAGGGACATCTGTAGAGCTTCCGGAGTGTATATCTGATTCTTCAAATTCACTGAGCTGTCGATGACCCGATTATTCTCACTAGGGCTTTGGTTTGGTATGTTTTTGACACTTATAATTTTGACTTTAGAAGCATCTACCTTGACGCCGTCATCCGGTTGAAAAACCGAATTAAACATACTGAAAGTATTTTCACTATTTCCCGTATCGTTATTCAAATTTATGTCGTACAAATTAATACCAGCATTTTCAAATTCTGTTATAATAGAGTTCTCCTCCAATTCTACATGCGTATTGTTGATGAGGGTTTCCCCGTCTTTGCCGTTTTCTATATTTTCGGTGCCAATATTGTAAGATAGTTGAATGGGTATATTTTCAGTACTGACGGTTGCATAGTTTTTCAACCCGTTAGCCATCTCGAAGTGTTCTTCTATTACGGCAGCAAATTTTGCTTTGGACTGGTCTTCTAATGGCATATTTACATTGCTTTCCGTTGTGCTTTGGTTCAGGTAGTTTGGAGTGAGTAAATTGTCTGTTGGAGTATACGAAAAGTCTCCATAAATATTGTCAAAACTAAGTTGATCGAGCGTTGTTTCCGTTGGAGTTAGCAAGTCGGGCACCTGTTTTAATTTGTCGGTATCTTCCGCATCCTGATGTTTTTGGAAGTCTAGAAACATTTAGAATTTGAGAGTTTCTGTTATAAATATTTTTGGGCTGTGTTAAAATAGCTTATTTTTTAGTATAGCCATTTTGGAGTATTTTAAGCATAATTTTTGCAAAATTAGGAACCTTTTGCTACTTACAAATATTTTTACGTTGTGAAAATTCATATTACCTATAGGGTGAATGAGAATTAACATCGGATTATGTGATTAAAAATTCAAAACTATCTCAAAACATTTCAAATCAGAAATTGTACTTGTAAAATAAAAAAAATCTAAGTTGTCTTGAAACTATAATAAATATGGAAAAACAAGAGACATTTTTCATTACTTTGTAGTTTTCAAGACATAAAAAACAATTTTTTTGTTGTTCTTTGTCACTCTCGCTGTATCTTGAAAACGAAAACCTTATTTATTTTCAAGATCTATTACGTATGCTTGTGTCCGTTGTTAAATTTAGTTCACCCTGTATGCGTAAAATTTATGCAGTAACTATTGATAGACTCTTCTTTTTAAAACAAAAGCCATCATAAAATTTGAAGAACAAAAACATTGTAAAGAATAACACTTCAAAAAACTTTTAATGGGTAAAAAAGTACTTTATAAAATCGTTTTGTACAGGAATAGCAAAAATTGAAGCATTAAGAGAAAGCAAAAGCCATAGAAGTAATACTATTGAATATTGAATATACAGGGAGTTTCGTAGGGGAACCCAAAATATGGTGATTTAGCACAACTTACCTTTATACTAAGCCCCACTCTTGAGAAGATGTAGACCTTGAAAATGGGGTTTCAAATTTCGACAAAAATCAATATCTCAGTTATACTTGAAAAACCAAATTTGGTACACGGTGTGAGTGTATCAAAAGCCTTAATCGACAGTAAATAGAGTTCAGTTGAAACATTTTAAAGGGTTGATGATAAGGTATGAAACACCATTAAAATGTGACAGAACTTTTTAACCTGTTGGCGGACTTAAAAAATTATTTCTTTATTTTATGAGAAATTTAATTCTAAAACCTTTCTTACTCGTTAGTTTTCAAAAAACTTTGTCGTTTTCAACAAAAACACGAATAACTAATAATGCATATTGTACTTAGCTATGGTATTTAAAATCATCGAAAATTCAAAACTTGGCTACTGATGAGGCTTGTTTCAACTGCAGAGGTATTACAAATTTACATAACTATCATGAGTATTCCGACATAAATCCTCGATCATTCAGTAAGTTCTCAATATTTCCAACGCGAATTTAAAATAAATGTTTGGATCGATCTTATTGATTGGTATTTAGTTGGCCCAGTTATTTTACCGAATTGACTAAAAACTTATTCAGAATTTCCCCAAAACACTTTCCCGGATCTACTTGACAAGATGCCACTATAACTCTGGACTGGAACATTGGTTTATGCATGATGGGCCACCCCCTTATATTAGTAATATTGTTAGAGATTTTTTAAACTACCAGTATCGAAATAAATGGATTGAAAGAGGAAATAATTGCCCACAAGTGTGTGTTGGTCACCAGACCTCAACAAATGTGACTTCATTCTTTCAGAAACAAAAGAATTTGTGTACTCCTCACCAGTTGCGTCTCAAGAATGGAGGAATTGCATTGCGGATAAATGCACATTTATTAGAAACAATCAGTAGTTATTGGATAGATTTCAATTTTCGACGAAGAATAAATTTATGCCTGAGAGAAAACGATGATCATTTCGAACAATTTCTATAACTTATCAGTGTAAATTGTATGTTATTTCTGTTGTTTAGGTTGTTTGTTTTCTTTTAAATTATTCTTATTCCAATTTTTTTTCCTGAACATCAAGTTTGACGTTCAAATTCATAGCCAACTTTTGAATTTTCAATGTGAACACAGCTACCAATACGCATTATTAGTTATTTGTGGTTTTGTTGATAACGACAGTTTTTTGAAAATTAACAAGAGTAATAATAATAATTTAATAATTAAGTCCGCCAACGGGTTAAAAAGTTCTGTCACATTTTAATGGTGCATCATCCCTTTAAAATGCTTCAATTGAATGCCTCTTTTTACCTCTAGAGGGCGCTTAGCCCTGCCAGAACGATACACTATATGAGACATGGATTTCAGTTAAATCATCTGAGTTTTTGATATGTGATAGGTATCATCAATCTGACCAAAATTCCCAATTGCCACGATTCCCGGTAATGCCTCCTTTTACTGCCAGAGGGCACTTAACCCCGCTAGATCGATCCATAATATGAGAAATGAATTCCAGATAAAAAAGCGGTCTGAATTATTAATATGTGAGCGTCTCCATTCTACTATATATACTGTGTAGTATGTAAAAACATAAAATGAGATTTTGCTTTAGAAAAATGCACCAAAACAAAAATAGGATATTTATTATTATTCTTATAGTTGCTATTTTTGTTATTATTATTACCATAATACACTGAAAGAGTATTCATCATAAATAATTAGTATAATGAAGACGCACCATTAAAATGTGACAGAACTTTTTAACTCGTTGGCAGACTTAATTATTAAATTATTACTTTATTTTATGGGAAATTTAATTCTAAAACCTTTCTTACTCTTGTTAATTTTCAAAAAACTTTGTCATTTTCAACAAAAACACGAATAACTAATAATGTGTGTTATCATTGAAAATTCAAAAGTTGGCTATGAATTTGAATGTCAAACTTGACGTTCAGAAAAAAAAATTGAACTAAGAATAATTTAAAAGAAAACAAACAACTTAAACAACAGAAATAACATACAATTTACACTGATAAGTTATAGAAACTGTTCGAAATGATCATCTCTTTCTCTCAGGCATAAATTTATTATTCGTCAAAAATTGTGAAGATTTCGTTGAAAGCCACTTTTCATAAGATTATGGCAGGGTCCTTTGGTTTTTCTAAGTTCATTATAACTGAGATATTGATTATTTTCGAAATTTGAAACCCCACTTTCAAGGGCTATAACTTCTCAGGGGTGCAGCTTAGTATACAGGTAAGTTGCATTAAATCACCATATTTTGGGTTCCCCTACATGCCCCTGCTCTGTGTCAGTTCTTATGCGAAGCACCCTGTATATTTACATTATGTATTGGACTTGCCTTGTTGCATCAATTCCAGGTTTATTAATTGAAACCGTCATTAACTATGTGCCTCAGCATAAATAGAAATATATATTATAATTTTTGTTAATATTATTTATGAAAAATATTTCGAACCTTAGACAGTTTTTGCGAACTACGTTTTTAAATAAGCGTTTCTAGAATTAGCTCTTGTTTTTAGTTAATATTTTAGCACCAAAACAAATTTAGCAAAATTATTTTCAGAAGTATTCTACGAAATTTGAAACCACAGCTGTAGTCAATTTTAGAAAGAAATTAAATAAAAAATATGTTACTCGAACAAATGGTAGACTGACTTGACGTTACAGCTATAGCAAAAAATCTCAGCAAATTTCCAGAACCATACCGTTACAATTATCTCCGGAATACTCAGTTTCTTTATTTAAATGATCCCAATCCAAACTTCCTCTTCCGTAAGAAGCAAAATTGTAATTACCTTCAAAGTCAAAGGATGGTTCTCCGACCTGTTTCAGTTCCTCCATCTCCAGACTTTGCGAGAGAGGACTCTGTTTCAAATCGACTTGGTCAACGTTTGTACTTAACGGTGTATCAGAATTGTTTTCACTGACTAAACCCGAGTCAAAATTATGCACTTCCTGGTTGTCTTGCGAGTTTGAATCCGTTTTAATATTTAGATCTGGGTTAATAGTTTTATTGCCGTGTTTTTGATGCGTTTTGATATGTGATTTCAAGCTGTGCGGCGTGGAGAATGCTCTGTTACATTCTGTGCTCTCCTTACAAGCATACGGTTTTTCCCCTGTGTGTATCCTTTGGTGAGTTTTCAGATGGTGACTGGCCGCAAATGCTTTGCCACACCCAGTCTCTACACATCTGAAAACAACACATCCATATGAAAAAGGTATAATTTAGTATCTGAAACCACTTACCTATATGGTTTTTCCCTCGTGTGCGTTCGGATATGCTTCTTAAGGTCACTGAAAGTAGTGAAATACTTCAAGCAGCCTTCCGACTCGCAGTTAAAAGTTTTTCCATTATGCAACCTTTCATGGGCTCTTAATCGATATAAAGTATTGAATGCCTTGTTGCAGCCCTCCTGGCCACATTCAAACGGTTTTACTTTGGTATGAACTCTGATATGTATTTTGAGACTATACGAGGTTAAAAAAGCCTTTCCACAGTTCGGTTCTGTACATTTAAATCTAAATTCACCTAAAAATACCACATTAATGAAATAAATATGTGACATCCATGTTTTATTACCCTTATGAGTTTTCATATGTGTCCGTAAATTTCCAACGGTACTATATGTCCGGTAACAGCCTTCGTATTCACAGTGAAATCTATTTACGGTAGTTTCTTTGGTATCGGGGTTAGTGCTAGTTATCGTTAAGGTGGCATGAGATGGCTCATTTGGCATTTTACTTGAAGACGTCGGGTTGATCTGCATATATATTTCATCAAGGGAAACTGTATGTTGGACAAAACTATAAAAAACAATTTATTTAAATTTGCCCTTTTCTAAGTAAATATTGCGATTGTCGTCAGACAAGTTATAACTCCTCGCAAATTCAAGGAGTGTATCATTGAGAGATTAATTTGTTTATTTTTTATTGTATGTTTATCTAACATTAAATAAAATCTGATCATGATAAGATATTAAATACTTTATGTATATGTTATAGACTTTAGCAAATGAATAGCTTAATAAAATAAATAAATAAATAAATATAGGAAATAGAATGTTGTTACAAACCCGATATCGATTTATTAATTTTGAAAGCAGAAAAAATACTTAATTTTTTCGAAAATTGAATAGTCAAAAAATGTAAGGAAAATATCCTCGACAATACACAGTTTTGTTAGAATTTGTTTTCTTAAATTAAATATCAAACGTCCCTCGTAGACGTAAGAGTGTTACTTCATCACACACCCTTGTAAGATTCCAGTGTTGCCAGTGAGTGAAGACAAAGATAAAACTTGACTTAACCTATAAGTTATTAAGAAAAATATTAATTTACTTTTATAAAACACACAAAAGCAGCAGCAACATAAATGTAGCATTTTAATCACGTTAGACTTCAGCATTTTTAATTAGGTTATCAAAGCTTCAAACCATAAACAGTATATTTGATATTTCTCGTTATTGGCGTATTGCTAAATTTGGGCATTCGCAGTCGCACAACCAGATCATTTATTTCTTACCCAACATTTTCGTCATTGTGCTCGATTTTTCCAATATAAGAATAAGACTTCTCGGTTTTAATATTATCCAAAAATTTTGTATTTTGGTTGTCCGATATGGGCACATAGACATTGTTAAAATTAAAATCCAAACTTTCGTCAAGACAATCTTGTAGATCGTGCGTCACTAGAATATTACTTGAATTTTCATTTTGGTCCATTTTTTCAATCCATGCCATGATTTTGAGTTAAGCGTTTTTCGGACCATAAACCACATCCCAATGACGAAAACAAAAACAACATAAATTCACTTAAGATATTTTCATATTTTCTTACTTACTTCAAGCTATATCGCTAGAGGGTGCTTAATTACTGAGTCATTTTCCTCGACTTAATTCTATTTCAAACACAACAAACACCTGTCAAAGTGGAAACATTTTTCACAAGTTATTTTAATGTATATATAGGTTATTTAGTTACTTATAGATAAAATAAATCTTTATTTAAATAATGTAATAATGTCGCAATTTATTATTTACTCACCCTTTTTTGAGAAGGCAATTTTTTTAAATTTAATGCCCTTCAAGTTTTGAATCTAGCGGGATTTCTGGTTATAGATGGCGCTGCAATTAAAAGTACAACACGAATCAAAATCTTCCCCTTCTCTTCCGGTTAAAAAGCCAAGATGGTAAGTTAGTTATTTGAATATTTTTATTTTCCACATTCATCGTATTAACAAAATACTGAAATAATTATTTTGGTAAAAATTATGGAAGATCAAGTACTATTATAATTTATTACTCCAATATTTTTCCCACATTTACAAACATTGTGTTGCAAAAAATGTTGCTTTCAGAATAATATTGTATTTGCAATAGTTTAGTGAATTTCCATTACATTAAGTGTTTTAACTGTTGAAGAAAAAGCTTAAAGTGTTAATATGGTGATTATTAATGTTTTATACCATACAGTACAATATTTACCTTATAAAAAACAAATTTCTTGACTTAACCTAAAAATTTGTTTGTTGTAGGCCCGAGGTCCAAAAAAGCATTTGAAACGTTTAAACGCGCCCAAAGCATGGATGTTGGACAAATTGGGGGGTGTGTTTGCCCCTCGTCCATCCACTGGGCCCCATAAACTTAGAGAATCCCTACCATTAGTTATTTTTCTCCGTAACAGGTTGAAGTATGCTCTTACGAATAGTGAAGTTACTAAGATTGTTATGCAAAGATTAATCAAAGTTGACGGAAAAGTGAGGACTGATCCAAATTACCCGGCTGGTTTTATGGGTAAGTTCATTGTGTTCTTCAATTAAGTGAAAATATTCTGGGCCCTATCGAAGCTGTCTTTGCCTTTACTTGGGCATGCGATGGTCAATGTGAGGCCAATATAAAGTCTCTGTATTGGTCACTAGTTAGTTATTTAATAATTTTCATAGTATTACCCAAGCAGAGAACAATCTCAATACAGTTTTATTTTGACATTGTTCATTGATGGAAAGTGTTTCATTTTAGATGTTATCACCATTGAAAAAACTGGTGAATTCTTCCGTCTTATTTATGATGTAAAAGGAAGGTTTGCAATTCATCGTATTACAGCTGAGGAAGCCAAGGTTAGTTTTATTATACATAAAATGATCTCGAATATCTTTTATTTTATGATGATCGATTCAAGGCACTTATTTGGATTGAGGGTGGCATCTATCCTCTCCAAATTATAGAATGATACTTCTGTGATTTTAGACTTACTCATCTGACTTTCAATAACGTTATTTAAACATTTCTTGACAAGTTAAAATTAAATGTCTAATTTTTCAGTACAAACTCTGTAAAGTCAAGAGGGTCCAAACTGGCCCAAAAAATATTCCATTCTTGGTTACACACGACGGACGTACCATTCGTTACCCCGACCCCAACATAAAAGTTAACGACACAATCCAGTTGGAGATTTCCACAGCCAAAATTTTGGATTACATCAAATTCGAATCCAGTAACTTGTGCATGATTACCGGAGGTAGAAATTTGGGTCGTGTTGGTACCGTAATTAACAGAGAACGTCATCCTGGATCTTTCGACATTGTGCATATTAAGGATGCTAATGGTCATGTGTTTGCTACTAGGTATGTCTAAGAAAGTTTTTAATTTTTTTTTCAGTATTTAACATTTTTAGATTTATGTATTAATGAACACGTACAGGATGTCAATTTTATAGGTTCCCAATGATTTTTTGTCTGAATCCTAATAACTGAAAATATCCCTTTTTTTCTGCATACTGATTGGTAAACATAACATTTTCTGAAAACCCAGTACTTTAGTTTTTAAAAACCCTGTATGTAAAAATTTGATAACACTGCCAATTTGGAGATCATTAAAATAAATTAAAACATCCAAAAAAAAATAATTTGGATGTGCAGGAGACTCTTACAAATACAATTCTGTAAAGTAAAATCAAAAAGGGCAGTTCGAAAATGATTTAAAAATACAGTTCTGCACAGCATTGTAAAACTTGACCTCGCACAATGCGACCGGCGTGCCGGCAAAATGTGATAAAAGCGGACAAAAACTTGACAAAATTTCACAAGGAAAGAAATAAATAGAATTTTATAGCACGTATTTTATATCAACAAATTCAACTGATTTTGCTGCTATTGTTATTATTAATTAATAAAATTAATTTGTGGTTTTGAATAATGAAATAATTTGATGTTACAACTGATCAAAATTTTGTTCACTAACGTGTAAACACATTTGGGTCCCCTTACTCAGTTTCTACGAACTAACACAAACCATAAATTAAAACATTATTCATCAATTCAACTCTTGAGTTGCTATACACGCAAGCCATTTTTGACACTAACTAGTAAAAAACCTATTGTAAACACTATCGCAATGACAATTGAAAAATTGGATTTCAGTATTCAGTCGCTGAGACCACGCGGCTCTCCACGTGTATTAGGAATGATGCTAGAGACTACAGTTGTCCAACTATGTAATGGTTGAAAGTAGTACTTCAATAATTTTTTTTTCGGAAATTAAGGATTTTACAAAAAATTTTTTTGGATAAGTGTTTAAAAAATAAAATGTTTAAAAACTACTTAGTTATTAAAAAAATCAATAGTCAACGTTTTAAAAAAAGTCTAACTACAGCACCAATTTTTTTTTCAGGGTATCTGTGACTTAAGTAGTAAAGAAAAATTTGTGGGAGAATTTTTTAATACATTCGTAATAAAATTTCTTTGGCCCTATCGAATTTATGGTTTTAAATAATAAAATAATTTGACATACCTGATGTTACAAGTTTTGTCCACCAACGTGTAAACACATTTGGGTCTACCTTACTCAGTTTCTATGAATTAACATAAATGGTGTCTTGCTTCACCATAAATTAAAACGATATCCATCAACTCTGAGTTGGTATACACGCAAGCCATTTTTGACACTAACTACTAAACAACCATGGTAAACACTATCGAAACGATGATTGTAAAATCGGATTTCAGTATTCGGAGTCACATCTCTCCACGCGTATTACGAATAACACTAGAGACTACAGCTATGTAATGATTGAAAGTACTACAACTTCATTAATTTTTTTCTCGGAAACTATACGGCTTTTACAAAAAAAAATTTTGGATAAGTTATGAATCACTCTGTATAATAACTTTTTCTTTCTAAGACAAGTATATGGCCAACTATGATTTTTGTTTAAAAAATAAAATGTTTAATCTAAAAGTTCAAAACCATTATTAAAAAATGTGAAAAAATCAATCAACGTTTAAAAAAAAGTCCAAATTTTTTCGGGATATCTGTAACCTAGGTAGTAAAGAAAAATTTGTGGGTGAATTTTTTAATATAATCTTAAAATTTCTCTGGCCCTATCGAAGCTGTCATATGTTTATTGCAAGGCATGCGATAGTCAAAATGAGGCCTAAATAAATGTTCTACCTTAGGTCACTGTATAGTTCTCTGCCATAACTGAAACAGTATTACCCAGGTAGAAAACAATATTTAAATCGATATTTCTCATTTTAGAGAAATAAACATGCATATTTTTATCTAACATGTACTTTTTTTCAGGTTAAACAATGTATTTATAATCGGCAAAGGTGCTAAGGCCTTTGTGTCCTTGCCAAGAGGTAAAGGTGTTAAATTGTCCATCGCTGAAGAGAGGGACAAGAGATTGGCGGCAAAGACCCACTAATGTTGTAATATTACATCATTTATATTAAAAAAAGTGTAAAAGAGCCATATGGTTTCATTTCTAGTTTTCCTTTCCTTATTTTTTGAAAATTGGAGGAAGAAAACGAATTTAGTCTTTCGTACATTTTTATTTAGAAACCAATACATAATCACTCAACCTTATTACAAATGATCGAAATACAAAATAATTTCTCAGCAGAAACGAGAATAGGTGAGCAAAATAATGTTGCGTACATACAAAATCATCCGAAAAGACTTATGACGTTTAAAACTTAGGTATAAAAAAATGTAGAGTTTATTTTAACAAATACAAATAACAATTACATAACCATAACGAAAAATACATTCTATAACTACAGTATGACCCTGGGAAAATTTATATTTCATCGGTACCTTAAAGTTAACGGTTTCTCAATAATTTTGCCGTACGTACACATAAACCACCGAAAGAGTCAAAAATCCGATTTACATGAATATGCCCAACTTCAAAATTATTCACAAATTACAAATGCGAAGAGCACCACGTAACTAACAAACGTAAATTTAGAATATCGTCTGTAAATTATATACAGGGTGCTCCAAACGGCATAGGACAAAAGCTTGCTTGATAGAAGTCAATAAAAAAAGAAGTTTTCATAAACATTAGTATGGAACGCTTAGTTTTCGAGGTACAGGATGTTGCAAACTTAATTCCAGAAAATGTTTTTTGAATATACACATTCAAAAAACAAAATTTACACAAGTAATTCGCTTGTTATTTAGAGCGTCAAAAAAAAATCAAATATGTATAGATTAGTTATTCAAATATTCTTTTTTTAGAATTGAAAATTTTTTATTATGTGATTTAAGCTTTGTTATTCATTTAATTTTTTTATTTTTTGGGTAAAAAGATTTCAAACTTCAAAATTCTCATGATAAAAAGGTGAATGCAAAATTTTACTTAGACTTTTTTATCTGCTATTGAATTATTCTAGTTTATAATTACCATTTTGTCCTATAAATGGTAAAAAATGAAGCATAGATTTTTACTTGTGTATACAGGGTGTCCCAAAATTGATGTTTGTGTTTTTAGAATTTGATGCAATGGGTTAAAACAAATCAAACATGAACGGGAATTTTTTGGTATCGAATTTAAAAAAAAATTATAATTAATTCAATTTTATTAAAAACAAATAAACAAGATTATTCTCCACGTCACAAAATATGTTCAAATAGCACAGATTTGTGATAAACTTATTCTTTAAAGTTGTAGCAGAAAAAAATCCACGAGATTCAGATCTGGTGATCTAGGGAACCGTGATATGAGTACACTTTTTTCAAAAATGAATTGGAAGAGGTGGATCCATACCATGGCCTTCTAGATTGCTAGATCTGATTCCAAATGACTTCTATTTGAGGCAATTAAAAAAAAAAAACAAGTCATGTACCTGCCGACGTGAATTAAAAATATATTACAGTTCATATTCACGCTGTTACAGCATTAATAGAGAAAAGTATGCTAATGAGAGTTGGTAGTGCCATAATTACACAAGCCGACAATTTTCAGAATCAGAAACCGGACCTAGTGTACCCGAAGGATTTTGGTGCCCTGATTATGAATCCGAGCACAGAATTGGCCCATCACCCTAGGTTCTCGAGTTATTCTAACCTAAACGTGCAAAAATCGCGATTCGTTATATTCTGGGTCAGATTATAACGTGAATTACTTTTTTTTCTAAAATCGCGTTAAACTATCTCAAAGTAATGCGTGTTTGTAACAAATAATCTGACTCCGAATATAGCAAAAAACCGCGATTTTTCCACTTTGAGGTTAGAATATCGCGAGAACCTAGGGTGATGGGCCAATTCTGAGCTTGGATTCATAATCAGCGCACCAAAATCCTTCGTAAAATTTTGTCAGTCTGTGTTATCGTAAGAATATTTGCCTTGATGTAGAAGGTACTAATTATAGCATTTTATGACGTGGACAATAACTCGCTTTCTAATATTATTCGCTTTTAAGTGTAAAATGATGCACTTTTTTTAACAATCGAAGAGTCAATTGGTAAATTTTTCATACTTCATTTTCGATTCATTGTAATCCCCCAAATCAAACCCAACACCACAAGCGTCAATTTTGAAACACATTGTATTTAAATGTTTTGAATATATTTGAAAAACCACTTTTAGGAAATTCAACTTGAACACCCTGTATTTCATGAACTATGCATTTTCTCACCCATATTTATGACTTTTTTTTATTTTGAACAGTTCGACGTTCATGTAAAGTTCAGTTTATCCAATTAGAGACATCCTATATCTCCACTTAATGCAAACTAATTGAATCGACGTGTAAATTTACTCAGCAGCAATTATGGTGCTCTTCACTTTCATAGCGGAAATCTTTCCCTGCCGAATTATGTCACACTGTATAATCTCACTTCGAATAACCATTCACCAATGAAAAACGAAATTTTATACTCCTAATATCACTTTTCACAATTTTTGACTGACCGAGATCAGCTTCGAGAATTTGAAAATACCTATAGAACAACACCTAAGTCTAACCTAAATAGTCTTCTTTTTAATTACATAAGCAACACGTTCCCTGAAACAACAAACGGTTCGATGCCCAACACTTCTCTTACCCTTAAATTATATCAGTGCTATAACCGTCCATCCAGAAGCAGCAAGCTATTGAAAAAAAAACCTATTGAAAAATATTTTGAGTGCACGAATAAACTTAAAATTACCATAGCACAAAATCGTATGGATTGAAATGCTCCGCTTCTGATCATGTGCTAGAATGGGGGCCACAGCGCCTTCTAGTTTAATATTAGTAGTTTTATTAACTTAACAACTACACCAGCGGCTAAAATAGTGACATGAAAATTAAAATGTGGTTTTACTTCTGATTTTAAGATGTAAACTGGAAATAATATAATTTTCTTTTTTCATTATTGGTTTTCTCTTAATGCATTTTTTTGGTTTATACAAAAACAAAATATTTTATTTTTAAAAATTATGGTGTTACATTTTTAGCAGAGCAGAATTCCTATTAAAAAAAAAGTAATGCATGCTATCTGCCAGAGCTCTGTCTATCTTTTAAAGATCCGCGATCTTTCCCCAATTTCTTTCCGTTTCGTATCACTCCTTTATTTTATCGTTATTATCAAAAACATGATTGCTTTGGCTGGATTTTTTTACACATCTACATTGTTAATAACTTTAGAAGAAAACTGCTAAATGTATTAAGTGGAAAGTCTTAAATTATGTTACACATCTAGAACATTTGATATCACCATCACTTTATCAGAAGCAACAGCCTGGTATATGTCTGTTAGCGAGCCAAAAATATATTTAATAAGAATTTTACGATGGGCAGACGACATAGAACTCTCTGTATATTCAAAACAATAGAGCAATACAGTAAATCCATTCAAAAAACAGATTAGGATACAAGGCATATCCACAAAGTAAGAGTACCGAGACTCTAATGCTGTGCTTTTTGTTTTTGACAAAATTGGCAACACTGCATTCAATGCCAAGGTCAAACGCGCGCTCATTTGTCTCAGTCGGTTGAGAACCGTTGTTGTAGTGGAGCGTTGAAATGAGTGCCACTATTCAGAATCCCGTCAGCTGAGAGGTGAGGGGCGTAATCTGGTTTCTTCTTTCAAAGGGAATGGCGCCGATCCAGATTTTTAATGAAATCAAAACTGTGGGGGTGGTATGATGAATCGAACTAATACGTATAAGTGCGTCATGAGTATAGAGCTGGCAGAACGAATGTTCATAATGAACAAAGAAGTGTGCGCCCCTCAGTTGTGACTGATGAAATGGTAAACAAGATTGAAGAAAACTTGGTAGTGACCGTCGATTGACTTTGGACAAGATGAACGCAGTTGTTTCGGCCCGAAAAATCATGGCAACTGTGTTTTGGGAATGTAAAAGGATTCTCCTCATTGACTTTTTGCCCCAGAGGAAACAATTAATGGGCGGTACTGTGAAACCTTGAAAACAGTATGGAGGGCGATACAAAACAAAAGTAGGGGAATGCACGTCCGCACACAACCAATGCCACAAAGCAACTCTTAGATTAATTCAATTGGAACATCATCAACTACCCCGCTCAAAGCCCTGACCTAGCACCTTCTGATATTCATCTTTTCTCTTCTCTCAAGGTGTTTATGGGTGGAAAAAGGTTTCCTTCTGATGAAGAGATCCACAGTGTCATGAAACAATCGGCTTGAAACGCGGCCGGAAACGGCTCAGCCCTCGACTCACAAAGTGCTTTGAGGTTAAAGGCGACTATGCCGAAAAGTAGTGAAAAATTTTTCATATATTGCCATTTTGAATTTTAGAAAATTGAGTACTCTTATTTTGTGGATATGCTCGCACATGCCATTTAAACGTTTTTTATTTAACACATTTTAAATCTGATGATCACTATTTTCTTGGCTACCCTGTGTAAATAGACTTGTTTCGTAAATATCGTAAAACCTAGGTAAGCGATACAAAAAGTGCTGAAAAAAAATTATACAGAAACCACACTGTAAATATAAAAAATATTTTTTAATATACGAGTTTCGAAATATCACATTTCTTGATACTCTTGCGCACAATACTCAAAAACAAAATTTTCCCATGAAAATACAAATAACACCATAGTTAGGTTCCTACGAATTTTTTATTTAATATATAAGTAAATAGCTGTATTAAAACTTGCACGTGTCTAAAATCAAAAGTAAAACCGATAATAGTCTCGCGCGGAAACGATATCTCCTAATTGATTAAACATGACACTTAAATCGTTTTAAAATATAGAAAAACTAAGAGTGACTACACGAAATTTCATTAAATATCACACGGACCGTGAAATTGGCAATGTTGAATTTTAGTAACGATGCAGAGTTTACCAAAAAAATATTTACTCTATTACATCACATACTGATAAACATTTAATTAAAAATGGGTTACCTAGAGGGCTCACAATAAACGAGCCCTTTAATTACGTAAATGGCATATTTTCATATAAGTACACATATATATTTATATATATAAAAATTGAGGCAAAGCAAAGAGCAGTGCAACTAAAAATGTTCAGTTTTCAGCTGCCCATTCGGGTAATTGAGTAAACATTACAAAAGAGTTACACATTTTTTTTTTTTTTCAAAATAGCATTGCGACCATCAAAATAGAAATTCTGCAGTTTGAAAGATTGCTCTTTTCGGCATCTGAAAATAAAACAAAAAATTAAAATTAGGTGCGATATACAGGGTGTATCACTTTTAAATTTAGAAAATTTCTGTGATTTTTTAATAATTTTTAATATTTTAATATTTTGCAAAATAATTGAGGAAGGTAAATAAAAAGGCAACCTGTAAGTAAAAAAATAAAATATTTCAAATAAAGGTAATGTTGAGAAAAATTTATGTTTACAAAAAGTTACAGAGATAGTATAAAGTTTTAAAAAACGCTGTCATTCTAATTTTCATCAATATCAATTTCTATCAATTAATTTTTTTTTTGTAATGGTGATTAAATAAACTAAATTTCAATGCATCAAATTTACCGCCTTCTCAGCCAGAATTGTATTAACAACTTTTAAGTGCGCGGTACATTACTCAAATATGGTTGAATGTTCATAAGAAAATACCAACCGAATGTCATTGAACATGGTTGGGAGCTCACTGAAGACAATATGTATAAATTCAAATGGTTTGATGTTTGATGGTCTTCAAATGCCATGTACAGTTGAAGATATTATAGTAGGCAATTATTCTGACGATGAGATGGATGTAATTGTTGAGTGAGAACGAAGAGAGTAATGAGTGTGATACTGGCGATGAATGTAAAGATAATGATAGCGATATTGATGAAAATAAGTGACAGCGCTTTTTAAAACTTCGTACTATCTCTGTAATTTTTTTGTAAATATATAAATTTTTCTCAGCATTACCTTTACTTGAAATATATATTTTTTTTATTTACGAGGTTCACTTTATATTTATCTTACTCAATTATTTTGCAAAATATTAAAATATTAAAAAATCATGGAAAATAAAAAAATAAAAAATTGAATTTTAAATAATAATAATAATAACAACAACAACAACAATAAGGAAGGAGCCATCAAGATATATGCATTTCCCGCATGCAGCTTGCACGCTCGGTAAATGGTACATTTTACCCCGTTTTAACTTTCATTTTCGTACTCCCCCGGAGGTCTAGAATATATTTTATGAGTTGCTGACATTAATCTGATCATGGGGCGATTTTCGTATATACCCCCACACCCCCAACCCCTGCCCCACAAGGAGTGTCAGCAAACTCTGAAACCCTGTTAATCAACATAGACCAACACATTAAAAACAAAATTGCCTATTAGTCCGATCACGGGGGATTTTGACACCAATCTCTCCGTCTACTATTGGTGTGATGCTAATTTTCACTTTATACAAAATTCACATTTTCAGCGACGATTTTCAGTAAATATGTGGCGTGGAGTTTTGGGTGACAATTCATTTGGATCAACTGCGTTACCTCCACACTCAAATAGTGTCACGTATTTAGGGTATTTAACAAATACCCTGATTTATTAGATGACGTTCTATTACATAAATGTGCAAACACAGTTTTCATGCACCACAGTACCCTCGCGCATGTTTCTTAAATTGTTTGTGACTTTTTACACACTAGTTTTTCACACAGTTAGCTAGGACACAATGTGGACCTGTGCATTGGCCAGCGCAAAGTCCTGATATGAATCCACTATATTTTTTTGTTTGGGGATGTATGAAACTGAGTGTGTATCGTTGTCGATGTCGCCAACCTTCAACGAAGTATTTTTGCTGCAGCTCATTAAAATAAACAGATGCCTGAAGTAATGGGAGATAGTTTTCACCACCATTTAGAAGCATGCTTATTAACTTGAGAAAATAATGTCTAGCAATTTTGATAGAATTATTTTATAATTATTAATTTCAGTATTATTTTAATGAATTTTTCAACAATTCCTAACCAGGATCCTCTAAAAAAAAGCATTTAAAAGTAAACATTTCGACTGACACAAAACACTCTGAAGCGATTCCCTTGAAACTGCTAACGTGCAAGACCACTTTAAAAATTTAATATTTTTTTTGACCTACTCTAAAATTATAAAGTAACTACTAAACCGTTTTGTAGTTATACTGGGAAAACTTTGAAAAAAATATATATTCAACTTCAAATTTAACATTCAATTTAAAAGCGATACATCCTGTTGAACACAAGTAAAAAGTGAATAATTTTAGGACTACGTACCTTATTAATCCTTGTTCATCGAGGTGTCCATGGGACTAGCTGGCTGGGGCGCCGGGATGGCTGGCTTTATGAACCGTTCACTGGGGCGGCGATGGGGTGGAGCTGGGGGGCTGCTAGAACCCACTGGATGCAGGGCTGCCGAGACGCAAGCCGGATTGACCAGCTGCCCGCAAGAGTGGCACCTCGGCGGACCCACGATCAGGGAGTCCCTTGGCGACGGAGCTTGCATAGACGACAAACCTAAACAAAAAAATGATGCAATTGTGAAATTGTGTTATAAAACGATGCGTCTAATATTTTTTGTTTATTAACCTGGGCTCAGAGGCCGGCTCTGGCTGGGCGACGGATTGTACGCCGGAATGGGCGAGACAGTGTGCTGCCTTGCGCCAAGTACTTGCTCGTTGTAATGCCGCTCCTCCTCCATCTCTAAGGAACTTTCACTTTCGGAGAGATGCCTGCAGAGAGCTTCTCTCCGTTCTACTTCCAGCTGCAGCTTCCTTTGTAGTCTAAAATTGAAAAATGGCACAATATTTTTTATAACAATACATCTTTAAGATCTTGTAGATATCTTATACAGAGTATAATTTTTAAATGGAGGGTCAATTTTTTTGGGTAATGTTCTCCACAGCACTAATCTGATTTTTTTTAAATCAAATAAATTAAAAAATTGTATAAATTTTTCAACCGCACATAACCTCTTGTCTACGCCACCGCTGGGCAGTTCCCAAACTCTCTTTTCTCTTGTATGATGTGTATTTAACTCTTCATCAGCCATTATCTTGGAAACGGTTGGTCTGAGAGATTTCGACCAAGTATAACTTTTTTGTTTAAAATTGATAGAGGAACAAACGTACTAATATGAAATGTCAATGTACAAGGTAGCTAATAAGTTAGCAATGACATATTTAAATTTAGCATCCTAAAAAACTCCTGTACCTCAAGTTTTATGCCAACATTCAAATCAGGAAATTATTCATAAAAAATTGAAAAAAATAAAAAACTTAACATCCTGTATATTGAAAACTAAGCATTTGTGGCCTGTATAATAAAAAATAAATAAACATTATAACATAAACAACAAATTTTTAATATTTTTTTAAAGCACTGTGATTAGTTTATGAATCTCAGTATCAATGACCTCCAACATTAACCTAGTTTAGATGAACTACATATATAATATCGTTAATATCAATCCACCTGATGTGATCTGACAACGAACGCTAGGTGAGGAAACAAACAAATGGTCATTTTTCAAAATAAAAATGGCCAAATATGTCACCGTTCCATTTTGTTACATCTGCTCTTGTTTCCTGTTTATCGGTTTAAGAGAAGAGTGTGTGTGTGTAAAACATTGATTTTATAGTAAACTTTGTGTAAGTGTATGTAATAGTTAGTTATAGATACAATTTGACCCTTTTGAGAATATGCACGGGGTTGTTTAGCTTTACACTATTTTGTCCAGCAGTGGGGTACGAAACTTATGAAAGGTTAAAAAAACATTTAATTTTTACAAAAGAAATTGAGAAAACAAACCTCCTTGAAAATATGACCCTTATTGAAATTTACAGTCTGTATAATAACCGAAAAAACAATATAAATCGTGTAATTATTTTGTCTACCTCAAATTTTCCTCCTTGATGTTCCGCTCCTCCTGAGCGTAGCGTTGCATCTTCTGAGTGTGTTCTTGTTGGCTGATGGCAAGATTGGAGCGTAGCCTAGCCACCTCTGAACGAAGAGTCTGAATATGAGAGCTTAAATTGCTAGCAGTGTCCCCGTTGCTGATTTCCCTTGGACTGGCTGGATCAGAAACTGGCTGGTCCAGCTTGATCTGAAGCATACGCTTCTCGGCCTCCAATTTATCCATACGTTTCCACAGCTTGTTAACTAGGGCCTCTTGTTCTTGTTCCAGGGTGTTCTCGAGTTCCACCTTGAAAATGTTACATGACAGCCAAAGCTTAAAAATAAAAAACTTGAACCGAGTGTACCTTCTCCCTCCTCAGTTGTTCCAGATTAGTCTGCTTAGCCAAAGTTTCAGCTTCCAGTTTCTCGATCTTCCTCATGAGACGGTTGACAAGGCACTCCTGTTCCTGCTCCAAGGTCTGCTCTAAGCGACATTTCTCCTGCCTCAGCTGAGTTAGTTTTCTAGAGAGATCATTAGTAAGGCATTCTTCTTCTCTCTCGTAGTGGTGGGCGAGAGATTCCTTTTCTTTCTTGAGAGCCTGAATCTTCTTAAGGAGGGTATTCGAGATGTACTCCTCCTCTTGCTCAGCCTTTGCTTGCTGTAAAAAAGGCTTGGGGATAGTACCTCTCCACTTCGCTAATTTTCAAGTAAATCAACCAGACGTGCAGATGTATTAAAAATTTACAAAATATCTAAATCATTACCAACAGAACAATTTATTGCTTGATTGATGAAAAACCTAATAAAGAAAATTCAACAAAATTGTTTTTTACTTCAAAATTTAAAAACACATTAAATAGCGAAAAACTCAAAAAATTCTGTATGTTAATACTTTGTCTGGCAAATTGCAATAATTACAGGCAAAAATTAATTTTAATACATGCTTTAGTTGAATGTTACAAAATAAAAGTAGGTAACGCACTATGAAGCATCATAAATCACTACTGACGAGCCACAACGTTATAAATATTAATAAATATTTAACTTATTTTAATTGAAATAAATTGCTTTACTAACTTCAAGAATTGATATCAAAACTGAATGAAGAAAATTTAAAAAATAACATGCCTTTCAGATATCAGGCAAAAAAGTTTTTACTATTTAAAACAAAACAGTTAAATAAAAAAAAACAAACAGAATATGAAAAACAAAAACTTTCTGTAACAATTCAATGACTCCCTTCAAAAATAAGAACAAAATGGTGTATTGAGTAAGAGTCTACAGAATGCTATGACATAGTTTCCAAACAAATTGAAGGAGAGAGATAGAGATAAATTTAAATTTCTAAGTGGATTTTTTGATGTTTTTGAAAAGTTTGTTATTATAAGCTAATGTTTGGCATATACATAAAACAAAATTTGTTGTAGCAAAAAATTTAGGACAATATTATCTAGAGGTGAATAAGTAAACAATAAATGAGGAAGGTCAGTTGCGTAACTCTTATAATTTATGGTCAATCAACAACTATGTCTCTTATGGTAAATTATTTATGAACTCTTTAAAGACATTATTTTTCAATGTCTCTTTTGTAAAAAATATGTCATTCATAATGTTCGCTATAATCATCTTGAAAAATAAATAGAAAGATAGGCATAATCTACTGTCAAGTCTATCAGTAAATTATTTAAAATTGTTATGAAAATGTACAGTAATGCAAATAAAACCCAAATATATTAATATTTAAAAGGTGTGTGGTTTTGTCTATATGGAAATACAAAGAATGACATAAGTTAGTATTTTCATTATTTCCACTTGCCACATGTTACTTAATACGTTTATTAAAATTCATTATGTACATGTAAAACTATAATAAAAGCACAATATTGTATTAAACAACTGGTGTGCAATATTCTGGAAAAGCTATATTCTTTCTTATTTATTAGATATTTTGTGACCTGTGAAATAAATTAAAAAATGAATGAAATAAAAGGATCAATCAGATTATTTCTTATGAAAATATTTATAATTTTACATAACCAAAAATACAAAATACACGTCACTATACAGACTTTTACAAATTCGTTTCTCACTACAGAGATCTCGGAAACGGTAAGAGGTACGAAGTAGCTTAAATGGGGGCAAAGTTGCGTAATCAGGGGACCGACATTATGCCTCTAAAAAATCAAGGCTAATATGATTAGTTTTCGAAATATTTAAAAAAAACCGAAATTTTGGAAATCCGTTTTTGTTTCATTTCAGTATTGTTTGAGGTGATTTTGAAAAAAGAAGAACAGTTTCTCATGGCCACTTTTTGCCCTGTATTGAATGACATAACCAAATTTTATATGTAACGTTTCGTCTCTCCAGGACCATCATCAACTTGTCAACTATTTTTTGATCACATTTTGTGCAAGCCTTCATGACCCCCAATACTGTACTGCCTCAGCCCGAAGTAGATTCAGATGTTTTGTCTTGAAAAATTCATCTTCCAAATTTAGCTTAATTTTTTATTTAGATTTCTTTGTTTATTGAATTATCATACACTATAAGTGTCGTTAGACCCTGTGAAATCACGTTACCCTTGATTTTTTAGAGGCACAATGTTGGTCCCCTGATTACGCAACTTTGCCCCCATTTAAGCTACTTTGTACCTCTTACCGTTTCCGAGATCCCTGTAGTGAGAAGCGAATTTGTAACAGCCTGTATATCGGTCATTTCAATATGTTTTTTCAATTATTTTTCAATGTTTGAATGTGTTTTGAAATATATAATTATATTTTCTATTTATCAGCGTTTTTCAATGGGAAATTTTTGGTTAGGTGAAACTACTTTCATAAAAAATAACCTTTGAATGATCCTTTGGACGCATGGGTTTTTACCAGCAANTATTGTCCCAATCCCCCCTTGACTAGGCAGGAGTCGTGGTGGGACTATGCGCGCGGCCCTCGACAGAGTGGGGCAGCGGACGGTTTCGGCTCGACTCGCGGTTAATTGCTCTCACCCAATTAAACTAATTAAATAAATAAATGGCCAGCGGCCTTACAAAAATCGGAAAATAATAATGCTTCATTACACACTATAAGTGTCGTTAGACCCTGTGAAATCAAGTTAGCCTTGATTTTTTAGAGGCATAATGTCAGTTCCCTGATTACGCAACTTTGCCCCCATTTAAGCTACGTCATACCTGTTACCGTTTCCGAGATCCCTGTAGTGAGAAGCGAATTTAACACCCTGTATATCGCTCACATCAATCAGTTTTTTTAATTATTTTTCAATGTTTCAATTTGTTTTGAAATATATAATTATATTTTCTATTTATCAGCGTTTTTCAATGGGAAATTTTTGTTAGGTGAAACTACTTTCATAAAAAATAACCTTTGAATGATCCTTTGGACGCATGGGTTTTTACCAGCAATTTATAAATTTTTTCACAGGGGCAAAATACCCAATGAATAAAAAAAAATTAAAACTATGTCAAATAGATAATTTCAGACAATAAAGGCTGTTTATAATTCCAATAAAAATACAATTCCACTTTAAAAATTGTAGCACTGATCTTTTTTTGTAAAATTGTGATCTCTACGAATTATGAATTACTTTGAAATTTTAAATTAATGTAAAATATTAGATGCAACATTATTAAATAATTATAGTGAGGAATCAATCAATAGGTATGTAAAACAAATCAAGCAATTACATATTTTATTTGTATGCATTCCCTGATAATGCTGAACTAAAAAAAGGTAATAAACATAAATAAATGTATGTATGGTATGTATACTAAGAAATATCATTTAGGAAATCTCAACTAAGCTAAATTCAAGCATTCCATTTTGGCAAAGAAACAATTTTATGACCCTTTCTTTAAAAATTCTTGGCATAGGTCCTAATACTTCTCAGTCATATATAGATTCTATGGAAAATATTTAAGTACTTTTCTTGTGCATTTATGTGCAACCAAATAATATAAATAAACTACAAAAAAGATAGCACATGTGAATGTAAACACTTTAATAATCATTCAAGAAAGAGATAAATTAAATCAAGTAAATAAGCTTAATCTGAAATTATTAAATTATAAAACTCTGGATACCTTTTTTTAATTCTGTTACTATTTAATGGATAAAAGTTCATTTACTAAAGTTGCTAAGAATATTTTTAAAAATTTCTTCCAAACATGGATTATAAGTAGTTTCACTGGTATTCAATCAAAAAAAATACCTGCTAATTTAAAACAAAAAGTACTCAAGAAATACATTTTCTGGCTATGATTCATCTGGATGATTGCCATTGTAATAATTCGTATACCTAGAAAACCTTTAATAAATATTGGATACTAGAATTTAATTCTTTTGTGGAAATTTAGTTAACACCTCTTTTGCATATATACTGTTTCAAACACCTACACCATGTTTTCTATAAAGTTATAGGTGAAAAATAAATTTGCTTCAATAAACATGGCAAGTTATTAGTGTTACAAACAACCATGACTAATCACAAAATATCACTAAATAACAGTTTCAAAACAAATATTTCCTTTTTATGCTTTCCTGTTCATTTTAAGGTACCTAAAATAAGTATGTATACTATTCAAGTTCTCTTTCATACCTATATTTTTGATAATAGGTAGACCATGGAATTTTACGAAATTTTATTTTAGCACCTGCAATTCAGGAAAACAGTATTTTTAGGTCAAGAATTTATGTAGATACTTTGTAATAAAAATATAAAATAAAGTATTGCTCGAATTAAGTAAACAGGAAATTACTGGAACAATTTATAATTTTTGCTAGTAAATAGTTACCTATAAAAAATAAATTAATATTTTAAAACTGCTCTGGCACTTACAATAATAACAGATGCTTTTCGAAGATCTCTATTCTCCTCTTGTAAAGCCTTTACTCGCAGCTTGTATGTTTCTAATTCAACCTTAAGAACGCGATTTTGCTGTTGGAGGCTCTCAATTCTTTTTTGGAGCTGCTCCCTTGTGATAGGGCTGGGGGGCATCATTATAGGGCCTCCATCAATGCTGCTAGAATCCGATTCACTTGCCGAATCTGCCATGATTCTCTCGAGGTTCTCAATGTTCACTAACTAACACACAAAATTATTGTCTACGCAGATCAGTAAAGACTTTAGGATGATTTATTTTTACAATGGAATTTAGAACATTTTTTTCTCGATTGAAAAAATGTTATTAAAGAAACACCAAGTGGTTGATATAGTCAATAGTTCGTTATTTTAATACTTATCAATAGATCGGCACTTTTAAGGATGCACTAAACTGTAAATTATAATAAATAGCAATAAACATGAGGACAGATGATAAAATTTGGGTTTAGTTACTTGACAGATATTTAGAAGTTACCAATATAATAACAGAAAAGTAACTAAAATGTTTCTGACAAACCTTTTTTTTTGTATCTATATGCACCATCATCCTTTAAGTCTTTACGCACTTTTGAAAAATAATAAGAGAAAAATAAACGTGTGAGTAAGGTAATGTTTACCTTATTTTTCTTACTATTGCCGAAAAATTGAATTAAAAATATTCAGTTCATATCTGGCTGATCTTATTTCTAATTATAGAAATTTAAATTTATTAGAGCGCACGCTAGCTTTTATTCATATTGTTGGTTGCCGAGGGATCCAATAAAGAAAGACCCATCTATCCGACTGCTGTCTCTCTCTTGCAGTACATTTAAAACAGAAACATTTTTGCTTAAGTTGAAAAAATTATTGTTTTGCTGTTATATTTCGCATTTAATACTTTAGACAATAGACAACATTTGATAAGAAGAATAAGATGCATATAACATATAACACCCGACGGGATTAAATAACTGTCAAACTTAAAATAATAAACTTTCATTTTGAGTGCAAATTGTTTCTGTTTTGAGAGTACTCAGTGTGGGAGAGGGAGGGACAAAATCGCAGAGAACTCTTCTTTAACAATCTCGAGGGTCATCTCAATTTTACGTTTTATGGTTAGATTTATCCTACTTTGTATCGGGTAAAAAGGATTAGAACATAAGGCTAAAATCTTATCAACTCTATCCCTTTCCGAACAATTCTTAATTATAACTCCGTTGCTTAATCATATACTTCATAGAGGAAGCACACCACATGTAGACACTATAGAGTATAGACAGAAAGGGCGATAATACCTTAACTATTTTTTTCTCTCTGTCACTCGTCTAAACTGTCACCGTAAGCCTATATAGTACCTCCTTGTAGTATATGCTCTAAGGTTTAACGGGTGTGTTCTCCGAACAACAAGATCACTGATCGTAGTAATCGTGTTAATCCGATCACAAATCCCGAATAGTCCTAAAGGAACATTACCCTAATTAATTTATTTGATATTGGCTATAGTGTTTCAGTGATACCATAAATATTTCGATTTAGACAAATTTGTCGGTTCCTGGTACATTAGAACTACCAGAAGTGTATTTTTGAAAAACTAATTCAGTATTTAGAAAAATAAATAATTCTATAGCGGCAAACAAGCTAAGTTGTAGTAAATGTGACGATTTTCAATTATTTGGTTATATTCGAGACTATTATCTATTCGCAAGTATTGACGCGAATAATTCATGCTCATGTCAACGTTGACAACATGGCGGATTAATGTTGATGGGGCTAATTAAAAAATGTAAATGTCGATATGTTAAATATAAATATGGTACGTATCATTTCTAAAAGTCCTAAGAACTCTACCTAATCTATGGTCCTAAGTGTATGTTAGTGTTTCATTATGAGGGGAAATGGGGAGCCTAAATAAAAGTTTGACCCGTGTTTCTTTCTCGATGTTCATTTAATACTTTCTTGAAAACAATTTGGATTTTTTTACGCAAAAATTGACTCACTTTTCTATTTAAATTACCTAGTTAATGATTTAAATTACGAAAACCTTGGGTTGAAATTTGGTATACATCCTGCTTTCACTTTAGACCATCTCAATTTTACTGAAATTTTTTCGGTAATACTTGTTTTACAAAGTTTTTCTTATTTCTATATTTTATAACCGTTTTAATGAATGTGGAGACCGGTTTTTTTTTGGGTCACAAAATGATATTAAACAAACCAATCAAAACAAAATTTTAATATAGTCACGCAATAGTGGAGATTTAAAAAGCAAATCAACGCTTTCTAAATGATTTATTCAAGAATTCCTGGATCAAATCATATAATATGGTAAAAACATTTAAAAACCAATATTGATATTACAAATTTAAAGGTAAAATAACCGTAACAACAAAATGCATCATATTCTATTAAATTACAAATTATATTAATAAATTATAAAAAAAAATTCACTGCGTATGCTCACTTTTCTGTTTCTTCACATCGGGCCCGTCGTTATTTTTATGCCTAATAATACGTTTGGCTTTAAGATACGACAGAGTATCCCGATTAGTTTGCCTTGGAAATTCACTAATGTCCGGCTTGGGATTTAACACAGTCTGGGACACAAAATCACCTGAAACGTTGTCGTTTGAAGGCTTCATAGGAGATTGTGAGTTTTCGTCCTTGCTGGTTCCTGTAGGGGACGTGTCCAGTCCCAATTCTCCCACCGACGTGTCGATCGCTGAACCAGACTCATCTTTCATGTCTTCGAGGTCTTCTTCGGTAGGAAAGTCTTCATCTTCCATCATTTCTTCCTCCTCGTCCTCGGGCTCCCGCTCCACTAGTTTACCTGTAAAATTCTAAGTTATTTCCGAATATTTACGTGTGCGAGAACCTACCGTTAAACGTAGGAAACGCTATATCCGGTAACATCCCTACGTCCTTCCCGTGGTCCCTCATAAGGTCTTTGATCAGGTTCGCGATGTCCTCCCTTTTCTTCGTCACGATTATTTCCTCGAACCAATTCTTTATTTGCAAAATCGGTATGTGGTAATCCTTGATGGGATCCTGAAAAGCGCACGTTAATTTCATGGAGTCAGTTCGAATTTTGTCAAAGTTACCGTGAAAAATTGCTCGACGTATTGGAGAAGATACAACCCGCAGTCGGTGAAGTTGTTCTGTTGGGGCACCTTGGGGCTGGCGCCTTTTATCACATCTTTATTGTAAATTCTTTCTTTATTCAGTTTGGCCTTATATTCGCACGTTAAATAATCCCTCAGTGTGGCAACCACACGACTCCTACTAGCTCCCGCTAGGGAGTCAAATATTAATATACAGGGCCTAAAATTAGAATAATTTCATTGGATACCTAAGGAACAGCATTTATTAATCGTATTTTGCATAAATTAAAAATAATAAAGTAGTAAAAGTTGCAAAAACAAATTGTTGCTAATTTAATGAAATATCTAAAAAAAATCAAATCGATTTGGTCAATTTGAAAATCTCAAATAGAATTTGTTTTGAATTTTTCATGAAAATCATTTTTTTTTAATATATTTTCTCAATATAAATATGTATAGTTGGCACCGAATAATCATCACCGATTTTTAGTTATGATCAATTTTTTTTTCTAGATCTAGATACATTAATTAGAATAGCGGAAAATAACATAATTACTGAATGTGCGCTTAGAATCAAACAAGCACATCATAATTTCGTCCGAGATCATGATCAACATGAGACTGAACGAGATTTTGATCAATATCAAATAAAAAGAACAAACCTCTTATCTAAATAACCTTGACTGGCAACACTGAGTTTACACTATAATTCAATAAAAATTTTGGTTGGCAACAATGGCGGACACTATAAACTGATAGTATTACAGTTGGCTACATTGACTGACTTTATTATTTAGTGTTTGCTACAGTTGGCAACACTGGTAACAGAATATTTGATTAAAAAAAAATATATTCAAATGCCTAATGGCATTTGAATATTATTTCATAAAAATGACACTTACATTTTATTTTGTACCAGATAAGACGTGTTTAATGTTGGGGACACCTAAAATTATTTTTACCCAGAAAATCAAAAATTGTTTTGTTTCCTGTAGTTGGCAACACTAATTTCAAAAACAAAAATTGTGAATAGGCAAAATTATCAAAAAACGAAAATAAGAATCCTTATCCGTATATTCTAAGACAAAGCAAATATTCAATATTATAAGCAACATAATTCAATAGTTATTTAATAAAAGTCTCAAAATGATAGATCAGCCTAATTATTGATCCATGAATCAACAAGCAAATGACCTATACAGCTTATAGGCTCAGCAGTAGCAGTAGTTCAAATGTATCAAAATGAATCTACTGGTGGCAACACTGCCAATCTAAATTGTACACTAGAAGAAAGGATTTAGTGAATACATCACGTTATGGTAAAATGTGAGAGAGCAATTTTTAATTAGAACATTTTTTTTTAAATATTTCTAAACTTTTTCCGTTTCTGCTGAATTTCACGTTAAATATTTACTATTTTATTTTTTAAAAAGGTGGTTTTTCACTCACTGTTTTATTTTGGGCCGAGGTTCCTTAGGGTGTTTGACGGGCGTACTGGTCGTGATGGGAATCACCGGAGTTGGTGGGATGCTAGCAGCGCTCGACGTAACTGAGGATTGTGAAAGAGGTAACTCATCAGAATCATCGGAATCTAGCTCACTGTCATCACCTTCAGCTTCGTCTTTATCGCTCATATCCGGGTCTTCACAGACTATCGGTTTTTCTACTTTCTCTTGCTTCACGGGAGTTATGGAAACCCCGGCCACACTGGCTGCTACCGCGTCTTTTTCTACATAAGAAAATAATCGTTGAGGGTACAAAATTTGTTTGTACTTTATCCGTTGTCGCCGAAAGAATCGATACTTACTTTTTTTCCTGGATCGTACTTCCAATTTGTACGGCTTCCCGTCCCACGTCTGGCAGCCGTCCATCCCGGGAAAACAGATAATAGCCAAGAACCAATGGGCGTTTTCGTTTATGGGGACTACTACGAAGTCTTTTTCAAACAAATTCACTTTCTTCGTCCAGGTCTTGACCCTAGCGTGCCTCTTTTGGGCAGGAGACAGAGAGGGGTCGAGCTCGGCTGGTTGACATTTTCTAATGACAAAAAAATGTTTTATGCAAAAAAGGCTGGCTACATTTTGCAAAATGGCCAAAGTAGGGTTCATACAAAATTTCGTTGTTCATACAGGGTTTAATCAAAAAGTAACGGGAATTTTCAAATTGCGCATGTTGTATCTTGTCTATCGAGCTGATTCTTTTTTTGTTTATTGGTAGCAGTGACAGTGACGTACCTGTCAATTTTTAGGCAGCTGCCATGCTTAGTTTGTGTTTGGAGCGCGAATGAGTAAGACATAGTTTTTCTGAAGTCAATTGAAGAACCAATATCTTCGAGGTATGTACCAGGCTCGGTTGCTAAACAGCAACTCGGGATTGAAATATTTGGATAACTTGTTCCCACATTTATTTAGCCATACCCATATACAGATCTGGCCGAACGAAAAGTGCAGGTGGTAGAAATGTATACGCTCAGTTGAAGAATGAGCATGCGGGCAAAGAGCAATGTGCAGTTTCTCTGGCCCATTGTGTTGTCAAAATTCAGTTGTCGACTAGTCGCCTAGCAGTGCAGTGCGGGAATGCGGAATTTGGTGTGAGTCAGATAATTTTAATTTATTATAGGCACCCTTCTAGTCATCATTCATATTACAATTGCGAAAGGGAAAAATAAGAGGGATATTTGATTTACTAATATTATTACAACATGGCATTTTGGAGACCTTTTGAAAGGGAACAAAATGAAATTTATCATCAATATAATAAAATTGTCTGAGGACATAAATAATTAAAATATGTTGTAGGTCAAATGAACATATAATAGAAATGTTCTACACATTATATACAAATTATTACAATTTTCTACCTTTAGCAGAAAACTTTTTTAGGGACACCCATGAAACTCATTAAATTTGATTGCTCGGTTTTTTTATGCATGTTCAACTGACTTCGGAAGAACTATACCTCAGTGTTTTTAGTGATTTTTTGTGCGGCGAAGGGTCGGATCAGAAAATTTGTCTGATATTTTGCGTTAAAAATGGAATTAAGTGTAGTGCAGCATACTATGTCACAGCTACGGGATTATCGATGGTAAAAATGTTTTTAGGAAGACCAAGAAGACATCGAAGATGAGACGAGACCTGGTCAAATGTGAAGGTCCTCCTAACTGTTTTCTTTGACTACAATAAAAAATTTTATCATAAATTACAAGGTTTGCGCAATTTGTGTGAGGCAATCAGGAGAATACAACAAGAACACGAGAGACAACTTGTGTATTTTGCACTACGACAACGCACCGCCGCATACCACTTTGCTTATCCGACAGTTCTTGGCAAAACACAACACCATTGTGATACCGCTACCACCCTATTCTCCAGACGTAACCCCTGTGACTTTTTCCTATTTCCCGAATTCAAAAGGACATTCAAAGGACGTTTTTCAACAATAGACAAGATAAAGGCAAAATCGCGAATCGCGCTCAAGATAATACCTACAGAGACGTTCCACCGGCATTTCTCAAACTGGAAACACGTTGGTATAAGTAGTGATATCACAGGGGGACTACTCTGTTGGAGACGGGATAAAAATTAAAGATTAAACAAACCCTTTCTCACAAAAAAAAATTAACAATTCCCGTCACTTCTTAATCAAACCTTTTATGAGAACGAAGTATTACAGAATAACTCTAGGGAATTTACTCTTGATTGTCGTTCTGTATTATCCTGCGTCATAAATAATTCCAAATGTATTACACTCCGACCATTGTTTTCACTAATTTTTAAATTTTATCCATTTTTGTTAATTGCAAGATGTAGCAAAAAAATTTTTAATTTTTATGTTCGGTAGAGTTGGGCAATGATTAAACAAGTCATTCATTTGACCAACTATTCAGAAAGAATCGTGTGTATCGATTCTATATTTGAGCTGCAAATTGTTCCAATAAATTGCAACATTTGAATTGTTAAATTTTAAATTACTCCTAAACTTGTGAACATATAAATTACAACAAATACATATTTGCAATTCCTGAAATGAACCTTAGTTAAGCGATAAAATATGTGTTTGTTTATTCAACTGCCTCTTTTTACATAAAAATTGCAATTTCATTCCAACATTTTTCAAATGACGGTAAAAAATATTAAATAATTTTATGCGAACTACACACTATAATTTTTTTGATGAAATACTCCTACTCTATAATTTTAGTTAAGAACACTGAAGTAAAAAAAATCAATTGTACAATTCCATTGGTAACATTGGCCAATGCAGTAAAAAATTCTTTCAGTGTAAAATCTGTTAATGTAAAACTATTACTTGACTTATCCACAAACTATTTTAAAATTTTATGTCTAGCCCCCTCTCAACCCTTAAAAAAAGATATTTATTAATTACAAAAGAATTAAAACTCTTATCAGAAGTAAAATAGTTATGTTGTCAACACTGGTGAAAAACTGAAGTTGGTAAAGCTGTTCTAACTTCACAAATTATGGACCAATATTTGGTAACACTGCTAAAACTACATACTATTGGTAACACTAAATACTGTTGGTAACACTGAAAATGTTAAATACTATTGGTGACACTGACATGACAACACTAAATACTGTTGGTAACACTAACATCACTATATACTGTTGAAAACACTGACAATACCAAATACTAATGGCAAAACTGAAAGATTATTTGGTGACACTGAAATTCTAAAGTTACTGATATAATTGTCAAATTGCAGCTGTGCCAAAAAAAACGTTTTTGAGAAATTTCATAAAAATTACTCACCTAGAGGCTTTGGTTGGCTTCGTTGTTAATCTTTTATAGAAGAACGTGGAGAACACGTGCACTTTTTGCTTCTGATCATTCGGCAGATTTTCCACCAAAAATTTCAGGTAGAAGTCGATGATGACATCGTTCAAAAATTGGTCTTGCGCGAGACAGAGGTAATCCTCAGTATTTATGGTTATCCTGCCCCGACCTTCCGGAGGATAAGTCAGGAGCTGTTTCACTTCACCAAAACCCCTGGGAAAAAAAAAGAAATACATCCAAATTACAAGTGTTACAAAATATGTAGCTCGACATACATCATCTCTGAACAGACGTGGTAAAAGCTTCATTACATGTTTAAACATTGCAGATACACAGTATTTGACTTGAGGATGTGTGCACTTGCCCTAACCTGATTTTTGTTTCATTAAATTGTTGCCACTACATAAATATTTATGTTCATGTTTACAATGGTGCATATTAGATAAGAATGATAATATATAAAACAGATTTTTTTAAATGTAGATCATAGCAGTAGGATGTCTTTATTTTAAAAACTAAATAGGTAATACATATTTCTAAAAATTTTTTAGAAATTGACAAAAAAAACCTGTAATGATGGCCCAAATTTTCCACCTTCTTGCAGAAGTTAAAATCACAAATTGATCCAAGAATACGGCACCTTCGAACAACAGGTGTGCACAGGAAAAATTTTGGATTTTTGGAAGGGGTCAATGACTGTTATGACCCCATTTCCTACATTCATGCTTTGATTTATTACACAAAATCGTGTAACGTAAGATATCTTTTATCTTCCAAAGAATCTCTTTAATATGAAAGTATTGTATCTTGAAAGAGGTGCCTAAATTAAATATGGCATAAAGTTCTGTTATTTTCCTAAGGAATTTGTTATTAATTACTTGACCTACGTTTTTCTAATATTTACATTTTACAAGATTTTCTGTTATTAACTGATACCAAAGATATATTAGTGAGTCAGTTAGTAATTAAAAAATTTGCGTAAAGGTGCTATTGGACTATAACTCGATTATTTTTTCTAGAGTAGTAGTTGATTATTCAGATATTAAAAGAAAGTCCGTTTTTCTTTAATAGTTCAACCACTTTCACAATAATCCATTAAGTACTTAGATAATAGTTCAATAACTATGAAAGTAGTTGATATTATTGGAAAGTAGAACTAGACAAAAAGTAACGGAATACTAATCAGGGTTCATAGTTCAAAAGTAATATAGAATTCCCTGACTTTTCCAGGTTTTCCTTTACTTATGCCAGTTTTCACAAAATTTTCAGTTGCAAACATCAAATTCGCTGACTTTCATGAATACTTTTAAAATTCTCTTGACTATTCCATGTTTTTATGAAGAATAATGAATTCCCTGACTTTTCCCGGTATTCCCGGTTTTCCAGGTCATTATGTACCCTGCTAATTATGAGAAATTATTCATTATTCTCAAAAAATCTGCATAATGAATACACTATTAGTATTCGTAGAAAATGTACGGATACTGATTATATTCACGTTGAATTAAGGGGACATATACAATGACAACGATCAGAAAATCAATTTTTTTTAAACAAATTCTACAGAAATTTCGCATGACAATTCGATTTTTGCCTTAAATGCATGCCATTTTTTTTAAATTTCCATTTTTCCATTTTTCTCAAGATCACATAGAAACTAGTGATGTGTCGTTCATGAACGATCCGGTCATAATGACCGAATCTTCTAAAAGACCCGTGACTGACCCGTTCACGTTGTGGGAACCTATCGCTCATTGTTCATGTGAGCAGAAACTCAATGCCTGCAGATCTGAACTGGAGAGCTGGTGTTAGATTCATGTTGTGCGACACTATCGCTCATCGTTCATTTGAGCGGAAAGTTAGTGCCTGCAGATCTGAACTGGAGAGCAGGTGTTGATACAGAATGAAAGTCTCAAAAGATCGACTCGAAATGATCTTTTGGGTATCATTATCATCATCAATCATTATTTATACAATCAAATGATGGTGCTGAATGGAATGAAGGTGCCGAAATTCCAATTTTTTACTGATGTGAACCTTACATGATAATATTGTAAAAGTAGATACCCATAAAAAATTCTTTGAATTTTTCTGATATGGTTTTAATAAAAACGCTGTCATATAAAGAAATATTTATGTAATTAATAATAAGTTGCTCCTNAGATAAGTTCGAATTACCGATATTTTCGGATTACTGTATAGTAAATATATGTATGTGCATACAATCTAATCAATAGGTAGAAGAGCTTACAAAAAATACCACCTGGGAACAAAAAATATAGTGATATAGGAAAAAAATTCTAAGATAGTGTTTTTCCTGTATAAGTTGCTCCTCCTTTAAAAGACATCATTTTGGAACAAAATAAGTTGCATTTTGCCTTATCGCCTCAGACTCAGACTTTTTTTAAATTTTAACCAACAGTGGAATATAATACAACTGCGAAATTGCCTCAAGGACTGTGTTATAAAACGAAACTAAATAAAAATTTGTTTTAAATTTGAGATGTACTATAGGCGCTTTTAAGGCCTCCTCGCAATATCTGTATTATTTTTTTGCATAAGCATTAAGCAATACATTTTCTGACGTGATTTACATTATAGAATGTGTCTGGAATTAAATAATGCATTTGTTTCTTTAAAAAAATACAAATATAAAAAATATATGGCCATAAATCGATCAAATGTTGATAGTGCATGTGTAGGTGCAGGAAGATAATAGCCGCCGCAAACCGTAACAAAAAAGGAATTCTATTGCATACGGACCGACAAAACGGAACACCGAATGAAATAGATTGGATTCAATACTATTTCGTTATCGTTCATACTAACGGGTCTTCAGGAATGGATAATTTTAATAATAGACCTGGAGACTAGAATACGTTCACATTGAATTAATAGAAATATTAAAGTTGTAAGCAGAGACACACAAATTATTTTGCAGCGTATGTATCAGTCATAATCACTGACTGTGTTCATGAAAATTATTATAGAGGGTGATTCACAACTTATCCAAAAAAATTTGAGAATAACTGCGGCTTGAGAAATGGAGACTACCTTAAAAAAAAATTTGAAGTTGTAGTACTTTTAACCATTACATAGCTGGACAACTGTAGTCTCTAACGTCATTCGCAATATGCATTGAGAGACATGTGGCCTCAGCGACTCCGGATATTGAAATCTGATGTTACAATCGTCATTGCGATAGTGTTTAGAATAGTTTTTTATTAGTTAGTGTCAAAAATGGGGTGGTGTATAGCAACTCGGAGTTGATGGATATCGCTTTAATTTATGGTGAAGCAAGACATTTGTATTATGGTGAGGCATTTGTGTTATGGTGAAACAAGACAACATTTGTGTTAGTTCGTAGAAACTGAGTAAGACGGACCCAAATGTGTTTACACGTCAGTGGACAAAATTTTGAACAGTTGTTGTAACATCAGGTATGTCAAATTATTTTATTATTTAAAACAACAAATTAATTTTATTAATTAATAACAATAGCAGCAAAAGCAGTTGAATTTGCTGATATAAAATAGATGCTATTATAAAATTCTGTTTATTCCTGTGCTTGAGAAATTCTTAGTTNCATTTGTGTTATGGTGAAACAAGACAACATTTGTGTTAGTTCGCAGAGTGAGTTAAGACGGACACAAATGTTTTGAATTTTGAACAGTTGTTGTAACATCAGGTATGTCAATTATTTTATTATTTAAAACAACAAATTAATTTTATTAATAACAATAGCAGCAAAAGCAGTTGAATTTGCTGATATAAAATAGATGCTATTATAAAATTCTGTTTATTCCTGTGCTTGAGAAATTCTTAGTTTTTGTCTGCTTTGACCACACTTTGCCGCTATGCCGGTCGCATTGTGTGAGGTCAGTTTTTACAGTGGACCAGTTTCCAGTGCCGTGCAGAAGTGTATTTTTAAATCATTTTCGAATTGCCCTTTTTGATTTTTTCTTTACAAAATTGTATTTGTAAGAGTCCCCTGTACATCCAATTTTTTTTTTTTTTTGGATAAATTCTGAATCGCTATATGTCATAAGCATTCAAGAGGTTAATACAGTTTTCAAAATATTTAAGATTTTCAGTTTCTCTTCTTCGATACAGCCTAACTGACAGAGAGCAACCTGCTAACTTACAGGTACCATGAACACAAGATCAGTGTCGTCGCTAGACAACACAATTTTTAAATTTGATTATGCAAGAAATAACTGTTATACAAGCTAATGCCCTGACTAGCAATGAATTATACCAGCAATTTAATTGTTAAGTGAAATTAGCTACTTTTTGTAAGTATTTGGCAATATTTTTTTTTTTTCAAATGGGCATAATTGGTAGTTCAATTACCTTTTAAAAAAAAAATTTAACATTTCTGATACCACCAACAACATTCAGAGTTAGGAACTCAAATATTCTTTACAATTCTGATACTTACCCTAGCCCGAGCGTAGCCTTAGACAGCTCCTTCGGGCAGGTCTTAATGAGGATATCGTTCGCCTCTTTGACGTTCAGCTCATCCAGAATGCCGGGCGTGCCCCCGTATATTAACTGAAAGTTCTGTTTATCGTCATCGTTAACCTCGTCCGGCAAGAGGGTCACCCTACGGTAAGCCTCCTCCTTCGAGGATAGGGGATCGTAGTAATAATCACCGTCGGGAGTCATGTCTAACTCCTCCCTAATTGTCTTGGCCAAGGCCGGGTTTAGATAATAGAAGAATACAGGCAAGGCCTTGTTGAAACTGGCCAGTACCTTGACGATTTCCGACTTATCAACTTTTATCGTTCGTACGTCGGTTTCGCAGTTCGGGTGGGTCACCTTCATTATGACCTGTTTCGAATCGATTATGACCTGTGGAAAAAAACACACATTCGTAGCATATTTATGTAAGGCAATTGTAAAACCGCATACCTTCTCAGGTGGAACGCAACGGTACGAGCCTATCCTTATTGTTCTACACTTAACTGATGTGCTTACGAATGTGTCTTCCTCGTCTGATTCCAATGCAACTGAAAAATGTGTTAATATAAAAATTTTAAAAACAATTTGTATATGGTTTGTTTTTATAGTCAGCAACCCTATTAAGACATGGGCTTAAAGAGATAAGTTCGAATTACCGATATTTTCGGATTACTGTATAGTAAATATATGTATGTACATACAATCTAATCAATAGGTAGAAGAGCTTACAAAAAATACCACCTGGGAACAAAAAATATAGTGATATAGGAAAAAAAATTCTAAGATAGTGTTTTTCCTGTGGAGCATAAACGGCGAAGTTAACCTAAAAAATTCATAGAAGTCAAAAAAACGATTTTTCGCTAATAAAAAAAAATTTGAACTCCAATTGAAGAAAGTTAAATGAGAAAGTTGTAGCTATTAAAACAACCTATCGATTCGTATTTTTAAATATATCGATTGCTATATCACTTTTCGAGACATATCGAAAAAATCGCCAAAAATAGACTTTTTTTGTTTTTGTTGTATCTCTTGCAAATTAAGGTTTTGAAACTTGTTACTTGCTGTAAATGTAACCCTCGGCAAGCAAAAAAGTACCTTTTTTTAAAATTAAAATATATTAAAAATTTTTCGAGTTATAAAGATTTTTCTAAAAAAAAGTCATCTTGAAAATCGGCTCTTCTTGCTCGACGCAAAAAAGAGTGATAACGATTTTATTCATTTCAAGTGTCCAAACATGACTGAAAAAAGTAAAAATTTTTTGCTCGCGTTTTTCTTGAATATCTTTTTCAATTTTCATTTCTCGATGATGTCTATTACAGGAATCGATTGCTGGCATTTTTACGCAAATTTAAAAAAAAAAAAATCGCTCTACAATCTTCTGGAGCCGATAATTTTTTTTTCAAAAAATTCCACAGACTGCTATTTAAGTGCTACAGCCACTTCTGAATTTTCAATTGTGCGTCAAACCGAAGCATTCGAGCACGGCAGCCGAGCGGGGGTCAAAAGCGCTCTTACTTTGAAAATTTTCATTATCTCGACTTCTGGACCACGTACAAAAATTCTTTTGTACTTAATTATTGTTTTGTACTTAATTTGGAGTAGCTCGACGAGATAAACCAAAATATGACGTTTACGACATCCTCAAACGCATAATTACCCTTTGAAAAAAAATATCATGTAGTTGTGTTAGCGGTTGCAAAAATAAAATCTGTGGTTGTAAAAAAAATTTTTTGAAATAAAGTGTTTGTTTAATTGTAATGCATCTGAAATGCAATGTGAAAATTTTGAGACTCCAAACATGTAATTTCTTCTTCTTTCTTTCTTTTGACGTGTTTGAATCACTCATTGATGCAACAAATTATGTGGAAAATGAAGTTGTTTGCGTGGAAAATATAGGAAACGAAACCACGGAAGAAGAAAATGATCACAATCGAGGGAATGGAAGAGAAGAATTGAAACTTAAGAGTGATACTTACATAAGCTGTGAAAATAAAAAATGTAATCAATGAATATTTTTATACCACGTAATTTTCAGTACGATAATTAATTAAATATTTGGTAATACTTTTATAACAAAAGGATATAATTACCATAAAACGTACTTACTTCATTTCACAGACAAAAATTGAAATGTTAAACAAGAGGTGAGAGAATTTTAGACTAAAGGAAAATTACATTTAAAATTTTTTCGTGATTTATTTCTATTCTCTTGTTCATCAAATTCCATTAAAAAAAATTATTATTTTGTTGATATTCATTTTTAGAGGTCGCTCGAAAACATAGGTACACTACTTTGAAAGTTAAAATAATTATGAGTGACTTTTAGAAATTAAAATATCGATTTGAAATTTTCAGAATCGAGATTTTTTTCAACCTAGAAAATGATAAAATAACGAGAAAAAAAATTCAATTTTAGACGATTTTGGAAATTTTTAAAAATCTTGAGCGACCCCTAAAAAAATTTTTTTTGAGCTGATTTTTTGAAGAGGCTCTTAAAACATGATAAACTAACATATTTTCAAAAGAGACACGAAAAAAAAATATTAGTTTTTTTTGGGCCACCCTAATAATTTGTTGTATTATACGGGTGTAACTTCAAGTGGAGATCATATTTATATAGACGCTTCTTTTGACCATTAGAAACACGCAAATTCCGTTGTAAAAATTTAATTTGTTGGACGCTGGACAAGCTAGTGTAACCTCAAATAACGACACACTTTAATCGTAGCACATGCACAGTTCCACACCACTCGCTCCGAGTTACTTTTGTTAAGTGGGCGTTCGCCACACAAACAGTATTTAACATGTAACCTAGCAAAAAAATTTAACAATAAGCAATACTGATAAATGAAATACACAAAAATAAACAGTCCTTGCGAGTCTCTCAGTTCTTACAGACACTTTAATATACCACCTTCGTCGTGGCTTCCCTCTGAATAATGGTCCTTAATTAGACAACAGACCTGTCTACAGGATAGAAAAAGCACCCTGTTGATGGTTTCCAGCGATGAAAAACATTCTAATTCACGGATGTACTGTCTCCAAATGTGGAACAACACAAAACCCCCCTTCGCTTCATCACCACTGACCCGCACTATCTCCCTTTACATGCACTGTAGATTGTCTACAATTCATGTACAGGGTGATTAATTAACAATGGGAAAATCGAAAGCTGAAGATACTACATGTGAAATGATGACCATTGGTGCAAACATGCCTTATGCGAAAGTTCATAGTTTCGGAAATACAGGGTGTTGAATGTTAAAATTTTAAATCGTTTTTTTGCGATTATTCTGAAAATATGTAGGTTAGGAACTTGAAAATTTGTGAGCCTATATTTTTTGAAGCGACGAATAAGATGCGTGTTACAATTTCAGCGTTGCTCATAGAGGGCGCCACTTACAACCAATTTTACCGAAAATTTAGTTAATGCAAATTCGATTTACTTAGTCCCATCGATAGGAATTACTTTCCGAAAAACAAGCATACTGATTTCTTACAATTTTTTTTGAAACACTTCAAATAAATATACGTCAATATATTTTATAATACATTCAGTGCCCCCCACATCCCATTCCGCAACCTCCCACGCCTTACAAACCGCCGATCTGAAACTCATCTTACCTTTTGGTTTAACGATGCTGTGCTTCTGGATATCGTTAGTCGAGGGTTCTTTGGTCACAGGGCTAATAGTTATCGAGGAGCCGAGCTTCTGCAGAATATTATCGTCCTGTAAAAGCCAAGTCATTTAATCGTATCGACGTCGTTTCCGTTCACTTACCACTTTCGTAGGCTTATCTTCCTCCTCCTCATCAGAACTAATCACTACGCTCTCATGCTCCACGACCTTAGAAGCTTTGGTAGCCTTTTTCTTCGACGGACTCTGGGGCTTCAGGTTAACTAAAAAAAAAAATAATAATAATAACGATCGGACCGTCAACTATGACAAAATCAGACTCACTCGCTATCTTCGGTTGCTGGTGCACGCCTTGGAGGTCCTTCTTCTGCCCGTTACTGGAACGTATCGTAGCCGGAATTGCTTTCACGTTGTCCGGCAGCTTCCTGCCGCACCTTATACACTTGGCGAAGTCTTCCGAGAGATATCCGCAGCCGGCGCAGAGCGCTAGCATGCCAGGAACGAACTTGGGTACCTCCTTGGGCGGTTCCGGCGTGGGGACTTTCGGAGGCTCAGGCGGTAATTGGGTGTTAGGCGTGGAACTGGGAGGCATCTGTTGGGGTTCAGCTTGAGGCTGAGGCGCGGCAGGTTGGGAGGCGACAGGTGGAGGTTGAGAAGGCGGAGAGGATTCCTCTTGCATTGGTGGTGATTCCTCCTCCTAAATAGAAATGTAGTATAAAAAAAATAATAATACGTGATTTTGAACTTGCCTCATATCCGAAGCAAGGAACATTGCCGACTGTAACGATGTAGTTGATGCCATTGGTGTTGGCTTCAGTTACTTGTATGTCGGTGTCGTTTCGAAACGGGACATTCACCTGCTCCAGGATTTCCTGGATGGTGCATGCTTCTTTGGGTAAGGTGAACGTGATGAGTCTCTGTTCACCGTTCTCTAGAAGTACTAGCATCCTTATAGAGTCGGAAAATTCCTCTCCAACGGGAGTATTCTCTGAAATAAGGTACATGTTTTTTGTGTTCAATTGATAACTACCTAGAAAGTAGTTCAAATGTACCAATTTGATAAACAACCAATATTACTTATATATTTTTGTCCTTAAATGATAGAAGTAGTTACACCATTCAATTGGTACTGGCTAGCAAGTAGTTCAAATGTACCAATTTGTTAACTAATACGACTGGTACTTTTTTCCCTAAAATGGTATAAAGTTCCTGTCCAACAGAAGTATTCTATGAGGTGCAATAGAAGTTTTAAACATTTAATATCAGGAATGCAAAATGCACTGAAAAAATATGCAAAACCAATACAAGGTTCTCTCTTCACGAATATTTTATTACAAATAAAGTGTTAGCTGCTTTACAGAAAACAAAAATAGATTTTAAAACGGCTGTCAGACTGGTTTTTTGTTGCTTTTTGTTTTGGTAGTTCTCAATTGTCTTTGAAAATCAAGAAGTGTCACAACATAAGGTTATCGTTATTCATTAGGTCCAAAATAGTTCAGCTTATAATTAATAAATATTTAAAATCTTTTGTTTTCATAGCAAATTCTCATGAGAATGGCACCCTTGACTATTACTTCCTAGCAAGTAGTTCAAACGTATCATTTGTTAAACAACTAATATGACTGCAATACGACTGAAATAACAGTTTCACTATGCTCAAAAAAAAAATGGAATTTTAAAATAAAATTCTACAATTATTAATTTGCTATATTTAATACAAAATATAAGGAAACGAGCACAATCCTCAATTAAATTCAGTCTTTCAGGTTTAAAAATGTGGGCTAGTCTGTTTTTTGTCACTTTTTATTTGTCGTTCATTATGAAGTTATCGTTATTTACCAAATTCTAAATAGTTCAGCTACTAATAAATGTTTTAAAACTGTGTTTTATATAAAAACAGTCGTAGAAACGGCGCCTTTAACTAGAACTGCCTGGTTCAAAGGTACCAATTTTCTGAACAACTAATATAGAAGTTTTAAACATTTAAAGTATACGTCTACTTTAAAGACATAAAGTTAGTTAAGTAAGACTTTAGTGACATAAAATGCAGGAAAATTCAAGGCTACCAATTTTAAACACCATTATAAGTTATAAATAACGATAGAAATGGGCGTAATTGTGTAAATAAGGATATCACAGCTTCCGCCAAATTTGCTTCACTTTTATATTTTTCTAAATTGCCTGTTAATGATAATAAAAAAAAAGATCAAGCGTTTTGCTACATTAGTTTATCTTACGAAAATTTCTGAAAGAAAAAGAGCAAAGCCCCATTAAAAGAATTTTCAACAACAAAAGATGGATCTTATAGTAAAATAGATAAATGAAATTGTTAGTTTATATGGATTTATTTGTCGTCCTCCGTTTTCCTAAATAATTTAGTTATTTAATTGCTTAGAATCTTTTTCTTTGTAGTAAACACCCTTTCGTACCGCTGAGCAAGTAGTTCAAATGTACCAATTCATTAACCAATTAATATGACCCCTGTACAATTTTTTTCTGAAATGATATAAAGTTACCTATTATCTTCTGTATCTGAGTAGACGGGATGTACGGCGGCAAGGGCCTCTGCTGTTGCGGCTTCTGATTCGGCTTTGGCGGCTGAATAACGTAATTCGCCTGCGACTGCCTCGCCTGTTGCGACCTCTGCATTTGCTGCTGCTGCTGCATCAACTGATTTTGCATCTGAGTCTGGAATTGCTGTTGGGGTTGAGGCTGGGGTTGCGGCTTAGTCATCCCCTGTTGCTGCGCTTGATTCATCATCGCGTATCTAGCTGGATCATTGACCTGCGGAGGTGGCTGTTGTGGCCTCGGCTGTTGCGGTGGGGGTGTGAACTGACTAGCGGGATTGCGGGACCTCGCCGGGGGACGTGCGGGGCTCGGGCGAGGCGTCGTCTGCCGAGGGTTGCCACGTGGGGTGGCATTGCGCCTCTTAGCTGTGGAGTTGGCTGGGGCGGTCGGCGGAGCTGGTTGATTTGGAGAACTAACCGGTTGGTTTCTATGATATTAGAAGAGATGTTTTAAAACCAATTTATAGGACAAAAAGATTTAAAAGTATCAATGATATTAGCAGTCTTTTGGTTTACCAATACATATTTGTATTTTTGTAGCCAATATTTGACTTTATTTTGATAAAATCATGACACTGATGGTACAATCAATGTTTTTCTTTTCGTCTTAAAAGACTTGCTCCAGGTTATCAATATAAATGTTATATCGAGGAATTCAGATAAGAGAAGCATACTTAAGATGGAGTTTCACTAGCACAAAATATAGAATTTTAAAGGTTTCCATAAAACCATGACTTTGTAACAATATTTGATGTGTTGTTAGTAATTCTCAGATTTCATACTTCAACTGATTTCAATGTTGATCCAAATAAAGAATTTGTTGTATTTCTCAATCTGTAGATCAAGTTATTGAGACATTTTTGGATATTAAAGGACATCCCATTATTTGTGCACATCAATCTACAGGATTAATAGGATTTGACTGCAAATTGTGGCAATCAAGAACAAAACTAATTGTGGACAAGAATTTTAAATCATCAACAAATTGTAGAAATTAAGAATGTTTGAAAAAATAACTTGTCATTAATAAATGCGTTGAGAAGAAATGGGCCTAGACGAGAACCTTGTGGAATATTCGAATCAAACCATGATGGAAAAGGATCTGAGAAACCCCACCCATCCAGCTTGCGAATAAAGAATGTATGGTTATTTTGTCGAAAGCTTTGGGGAAGTCAGTGTAAATAGCATCTACTAGTAATATTGTAAATAAAAATAACAATAAACATTTTACAGAACTTACAATTTGAATAATTATGGAAAATTAAACGTTTGTGGATGTTTCCGACTTAAACTATTGTCAGGAAAAAATTTATATGAAGAAAATGATCTTTCAACTTTACAGAAATAATAAATAATGATTCCGACATATTAATTGCTGCAGGTGGTTTTCACTCCCGCATGGATCTCGAAAAACGACCATTTTACAATATCAAAGGCTTTTTTCGCGAGCCGCAAAGCGCCCCGACGTTCTTCCTTTGTGTCATAGGGGTATTTCAGTGGAGGCTTCTCCGCGTTTTTCTAGGTAAATTTTCGCTTTCCCGGGAGTCTGTGGGAGAGAGACAGAACCCGACAGGAACGTCCACCGACGGACATTTTAAGAGTCGATTTAGAATACTAAAGATTTTTTTTTCGAGGCCCGATTGGGGGTTTGCTCAATTTTTACACGCGAGATTCGTCCTTTCTCCGTCGTCACGGGATGTTTTCGAAGGGTACTTTTTACTTTTTAATGTCGAAATTTGCTTTTTAAAATGGTTCTACACCGTGCATCTCTCTCATAAATACTGTCGTTAAGCCCGGATTATTTCGCCCAAAATGCTATTTTCGCGGCGTCATATTTTCCTTTGTGGATACGGCCAGCACCGGTGCTCTGTCTGAAATGGAGCCGGAACTTCTTTCTCTTTGCGTACGAGCAGCTCCCGCGACCTGCGAAGTCCCATTTCTGCTACCGGGACGCTTTTCTGAAACCGCGTCGCAACGTTCTCTATCTTCTATATCGCCCTCAACTTTTATTAGGCCGAAGGCCCGAGAGAACGGTCAACTCCACATCAGCGGAGTTTGCCAACCTTTCTAGTTAGTGTATTTAAAATAAATAAAGTTTCTCAAACTATATATTTTGTTGTACTTGTAATGCAAGATTCAGACCTTAATAATGCTTAAAACTATTGTTTATATAAAAATGCCTCGTACCTTTGCTGCAAAGCTGCCCTTTTCTGCTCTGCAATCATCTTCTTATATGCCGCAACAGATATAACAGTGCCATCGGGAAGGGAAATCGCCTCTTGCTCGTCAGACGATTTCTGTAATAAAAAATGTCGATCCTCTTATATCCACCGCGATAATTTATGCATATGGGCATAATTATAGTACATTTAAGTAATAGACCTTTTTTTTAAAACAACTTTTGACCATTGACCATTTTTGTTTGGACAAATTACAACTGACCGTTTGGTTTTTGCTTGCTTAGTCCCATGTTGTCATATCACATCAGACGGATTAATATGTAGTTCACTTAGACACCTGCGATTCACAAACTGAACGCAGTGCTTTAAACAATAGTAATAAATCCTTTTTATTATGATTATGATTTTAAAAAATATTTCAACTTATCAGATCAGTACTTATTTTTATTTAATTATTTTTTATAATGTTTATTTTATAAAACAGCAAAAAACAGTTAATTTAAAACATAACAAAAAACTTTACTTGCAATTAATATTTAACAAATCGTACAAAAAATATAAATTCTAGACATTTTTTTTAATATTACATGGTTATCCTCACTGTCAAACAAATATGGTGACTTTAAAGTAACACGCTACCTCGCGAAGTCATAGCTGCCTGTTTTTCAGTTATTTTCCATTGTAGTTTCACTCTTTGCCATTCCGTTAATTTCATACAGTTCGATTAAGAAGGTCTGGCCACATCAATAAGAGCATTGATGCAACTAGTGTCGGGTGCTGCCCAGTGACGGCGCAGACAAGAGTTAAAGTGTAGTTTAAAAAACTAACCATAACTAGACTAACTGATTTAAAAAAGATTATTTCAGATTTGTGTTCTGGAGAACACATACTATTAACCCCAAAAACTGACCCCCCCCCCTCCACTTAAAGTTACACCCTGTATTTTCAAAACAGGTTAACCAAATCTAGGCATAGTACTAATTAGTTGCATTAACTGTGAATAAAATACAATTTCATTAATATAATTACAACTTACGATTTCCATATCTTCCATGTCGATTTGTGGCTGCGTGTTGATCTTCTGCTGCTGCTGCATTTGAGCTACTGCTTGAAACCGGGGATTGACGCCCTGGTTTTTCTGCAGCGGTTGTCCGATCAGTCTCTGCTGGACCTGCTGCTTGACCTGTGGCTGCTGATTAGGATTAACGAGCTTCATCTGCTGTTGCTGATTGGGATTCTGTGGGCGGACTTGCCCAGGGTTCTGCAGCCTGTACTGTTGCTGGTTTAAACCCATCGGTCTCGCCATTTGATTTGGCGCCGGTTGACGTACTTGTAGCTGTGGATTCGGTTGCCTTACTTGGTTAGTGGCTGGGAGTCTCATAGGAGTCTGGTTCGGACTCGGTTGAGGCTGCTGGTTGGGATTTTGTTGCCTGAGTTGTTGGTTGGCAACTGGAGGCCTTGGCAATTGGCGGTTCTGCAGTCTAGCTGGCTGCTGCTGGGAAAAACAAGGGATAAGTTTCTATTAAGACTGAACGCAGGCGGTCTTACTTGTAAAAGTGGTTGTCTTAGATTCGCCCTAACTTGCCGCTGAAGCTGGGCAGGATTTACCACTTTATTGGTCACAATAGTGTTGCCTTGTGACAACTGGTGATTTAAAACGATGGGTTGTTGGGTTAATTCAGGCTGCTGACCTGTTTGTTCCATTACGACACGATCGTTTGAGTTACTGTCCATATAAAATATCTGTTGTGTTCCATTGGTTAGACCATCTTGAATAACAGCGTATTGCTGTTGCTGCACATGTACCTGGGATTGCTGGATTTGCTGCTGCAATTGGACAGATTGCTGCTGTACCTGAACCTATACAAGAATTCCTTTAGAAAAATATACTATGCTGTTATTCGTAGGATATTAACAGGAGCCTATATGTTTTTATATTTATTTTATCAGATTTCTTCATGAAAATTTACTATCATGAATATAAAAACATATTCATTATACACCAGATGTTGTACCTGTATCTGTTGTGGCTGTATTTGTTGACTTTGATAAGTAATTCCTGAGGTTTGGTCGATAACAATTTGTTGCTGTTGACCATCTACCACCATCAACTGTTCTCCGGAAGTTACGACAATCTAAGAGGTGTTAAAAGATCGTAAGTTCTTAGAAAAATTAAAATTGAACTCTATAAAATTATATTACGTAATAACTATATGCTTAATATGAATTTAATTTGACACAGTTACATTATTATGGTTCAATAAGCGACAGGATTGAAACCACATGTTTTGTGACAGAAACTTATTCATTTCAATTTCGGTATTTAATATCTCATTATTTAAAGTTCAAAACTAAGAGTTTATACCTAAAACGGGTTAATAGTAGCATTCTCAAAATGTTTGTTTAATCACATTTTAAAGTAATAACATCTAGATACTTGTTTCAGATATTTAAAACTTAATTAAATCATTCTTACCTGCTGTGTTGGATACTGAGTTTTATCGGGAGAAATCATATATTGGACTGTCTGGTCTTCGACATTATTATAAAACTGTTGTTCTGAACTCTTATCACTTTGACTCAATACTTCATAGTACTGGGCCATAATTTGAATTAAAAATAGTGCATCCTCATTGCAGTCTGGTTGTACAACACGTGTACAAGCAAACCTCAAATCCGATGCTTAAGATAAATCAATCGACTAATGCCAGAAAAATATGAATAACAGAAACTTCCGAAATGTTTTCACAATATACTCTCAACGTTCAGTGATCGTTTCCAAGACGACTGTTTAGAATAGCAATAAATATTGTGTTCTATACCTTTTCCTCATATAGGATTGGAAAACACATACTATTTTAAGGTTTAATGAAGAAAAACACGTTTAACTACACGTATTATTAACACTTTTCACAATTAAAGCCACGATAAGATACTAAAATGGCGTGTCATTAGATTGCGTCCATAAGCAGCAAAGGCCTTCTACATCAGCGCTCTCTTTTTCCGACAAATTAATATTTTTTGTGAATTAATACGACATAAAACACTGTTTCAGTATTGGAAAAGTTGTACGATGTATTGTAATAATTTAATGAACGTTAAATTAAGTATAATTCTCAGTTTTCAGAACTTTTGTTGATAACCTTTGCGACGTTGTCGGATTTCAATTACAGAAGAGTGTGCAGGTGCTCGAAGAGCGGGATTTTTAAACGGATATCCAGCAACCAATGAATTTGTACTCTAAAGTCACATGATAATAACTGACTGGTTTATTGGATCATGTATGTTTACGTGTTTCTATAACAACGAAAATGATGAAATATAATTGGTTGCTGATTATACTAAAATATTACCGGCAGATTTTAAATATATAACCTCAAAAATAAATTTAGACAGGTTATCTTAAACTTGTCAACGTCAGTTATAAAAATAAAGTAAATAAAAATGTTTACTTGGTAATTAATTTTTGCCGTAATAATTCACTTTTAAAATAAGTGTTAGGATTGTGTATCTTTTTTCTTGTTTAGTATACACTTACAATTAATAAACAAAAACACATTTTAAGCCTTATAATATTTATTCTATGTTATAACAATATACAAAAAATATTAAATGGGGCGTTTTTTATGATAGTCACCTATTATCCATTATTTCGAATAACATAACCCACTGACATTTTGACACATGTTAAATTATGATGGTTATTAAAGAAGAATATTAGATAATGGAAACATATATTAAACTTAAATAGAAAAACATTCACTGTACAATAATACACTTAGAAGTAGTAAACTATAAGCAAATATCTAAAATATAAACAAAAAGCTCCTTAAGACACTATTGTGTTATGGGAATAAAAACTATATCACAAGATCTCTCCGTCAACATCCATTACAATTATTCTGTTTGTCGGAGTCTAGCTAACCGCTGAGTTAACTCATCTTGCTCTTGAGACACTTGTGTAGTTGTTCCTATAGTACCACCTTGAGGTCCTTCTGGAAGTTCCATATTCAACTCCAAACTAAAAAAGAAAATTTGTAGTCATTGGAAACGTTTTTTGATAATTATGTGAAAGCCTCGGTGAAAGCTAATCAAAAATTGTATATAGATATGATCAATTTTTATTTAATAACTTACCCAGCTTCATCGGCAACTTGCTGCATAAGCGAATCAACATCATTTTGAGGTATAAGAGTGGTAGTAGTCTGTCCCATAGTATTTTCCAAAACATCTGTTTGTACGCCAAGATCCTCAAATTGCTGCTCAAACTTATCCATAACATTGGAAATTTTCTCCAAATTCATACTCTTCATCGCAGCATCCATAGCTTTAACTACACCTGCCATGGAATTTGTAACCTTTCTTGTCGTAAGGGCTGATTGGACTTTACTAGCGACTGCATCTACCCTAGCAGACATTCGTAAGTAGTTTAAGGCTTGATTCTTTTGACGTATAGCGTTTTCAGCATGAATTCGTGCTACTTCCATGTTTCCTTTCTGAATAGCTTGTTTTGTTTTAGCTTTCTCCTGTTTCTCTTCTTTGTCACATCGTTTTGAGTTTCTTTCTAATTCCTTCACAGCGAATTTTAAATTGAAAAGGTGTTCTAAGAAATTATTAAGGAAATTAATATTTTATTTTTAAGAAGCAATTTACAATTAATTTTATTTGTATGTAGTAAACCCAATATTTAAAAAAAAGGATACTCTCCATGGCAGTGGATGACATTTCGTTTCCCATCACAATTAATTTTGAAACGTCAAAGAATTATGCGATGTGTAACTTGAACTAAACGACAAAACTTTTTTAATCTTATTTTTGATATATCAATAAATTGATGACAAACTACCTAAGAATTGACAGATATTTGCAGAAATGACTCATTGTCAGTCTTACAAATAGCAGATTACAAAATGTGATAATCAAATACTATTGACTAGCATTGGCAACATTGCATCTACCTTTATGTTTTCCATCCTGTTACAGAAAATGTTTATAACTCTGATTATTTTTTTGGTGTAATGTACTATTGGCAAAACTGAGAGGATTATATGAACTACCACTATAAAATTTTTGTTTATATATTTGGAAACATGTAATAGTAGATCAAAACTACATATTTTTTGTGTGACGTAAAATGGCTGCTGTAGTGCGTGTGAAACGTCGATTAGATGAAGAACCGTTAGAAGCCGTTATATTAAGTTGTAAAAGGAGAAAATTGAATAACGATGTTGTTAAAGATGCAGAAGATACTGAATTGTCAGCTACATTACTTAAATTCGCAGGAACCATTAAGGAAGTAAGCTAAAACCTTCAAAAATTTTATCCAGTTTTTTTTGTATACATTTTTTTCAGGATGAAAATGTTGTTGCCCACTTAAAAAAGGAACGTATCCCAGAAATCACAGAACTAAGAGAGCACTTTAAAAAACATGCCGTTAATATTAACGAGAAGCTAAGAGAACAAATGAAAGAAACTTCTAAAAATAACCGTTTCAAAGTGGTAAACTGTTTTCGATCTGAAAATGCCGAAGATAGTTTAACAGCTGAAAATTCAACCTCCAGCTCCACAAAAAAAGAATTGACAATATTTGATATAGAAACAGACTTAAATGATAATGACGTGAAGACTGAAAATCAGAATGGGGAAAGTTCTGAGCCAAAATTTGTTTACGATTTGTATTACACAAATTCAGATGATTTAGGAGATGCAGATATAGATGATTATATAAGGTGAGATTGTTGGCTCCATAAATTCATTTGTTTATCCATATGATTTATTTTTGCAGTGTTTATCCTCTTAGCGACCCTTTAATGCTTGGTTCAACCCGAGATAACGGACTTAATGATGCTGATAGTGATGATGGAAGCGAAGATTCCAATGCCGAAAACAACTGGCGAAATGATTACCCAGACGAATCAGACTTGGAATCGATAAATGAAGATGATATGGTTGAGGCAATGCAGAATGTTGCTATAGACGAAGACCTGCTGTCTAGCGATGAAGGTGAAGAAGGCTTTGTATACAGTATTGACAGCGAAGCTGCTGGGTTTGAGGAAGATGTTGACGAATCGGACGTCTTTCGGTACGGTGAACGATACGCTAAGTTTAAAGCGAAGCACAAGAATTATATTGAGAGTAGCGGTGTGGAAAATGACCTTTATTATGGAGATATCGATGAAAACGAGTATTATTATTAGCAACTATATTTGCAGGGTATTTTGTACAAATAATACAGTGCATATCTTTATGAGTTAATTTAAATTACGTACCTTGTTTTGTTTCAGTAGAAAAAACAAGGATTTTGTGTTTTTAGTTACGTTAAATATTGTCTAGAGAACATTATATTTTCATTGGTTCCTATTTAATTAATAACCTTAGGATTTATTACATCAAAATATTGTTTATATGTACTTAAAATATAAAGTTTCAAAAGTTATATTGTTATTTTATTATTTATTTGTCTAATGATTATGATAGACAAAACAAAATTTATTAGGTATATTTTATTTGGGTTTATCAAACATTTTGATAAAGAATATCTGCTACTGTAATATATATTACATAAATAGGTTCTATGTAAAAATTTTTAATGCAATTACTATCGAAATAAATGAAATAGACCCCTGAGTTTGGAAACGGATATTAAGAAAAAGTAGGCGCAAAAAAATTTGAAATTTGGACAATATATAGTTACACTATTACTCTATTCTGTGCTAAAATTTCAATTAGTTTCGTTATCCCATTTTTTAGTTAATAAAAATGTTGAAAAAATCACGGTTTTTTTGCCTGAAAAACTGATACCTCTCACTTTAATTCGTCGTATTTTTTTTGTTAATTTATAGAAAAATTCCAAATTTTTACTAATAAATTTAACCATAGACTGTGCTCCGTGAGTTGAACTATTGTCTTTAGTACTGTGAAGGTCACTTGTCTCGAAACCTCTTCTTTTTTTTATTTTTAAGTGAAACGGAAGGGAGTGCTATCTCCGTAAATATTGCATTCTTAAAAAAAAAACTGACTCGAGTTGTAAATAATTGTAAACAACAATCTGAAAAAAATTGTTAAAAACAGTTATAAAGGCTATACTGTATATCTTGCATCGGACCGTGAACGTAATTCACCAATCCGATACTGTTTTTAAAAATGTCATATTAAGTATAAGTTTTTTATTTCACATTCTTCATTTAATTTTTACGAAGGATTATTTAGGGAATAAGGAAAATTCGTTATTTAATTGATTCAGTTTTAATAGTGTTCTATCTAGTTGCTCTAGAATCTTCTATGGTCATGTGTGGATCTATCGAATGGAAAGCTACTATTAATTTTAACCTCTACTATATGCATGTAATTCTGTAGTTATTAAAATAAATATGAAATAAATGACTAGTTAAATTATGATTATAGCAAATTATAATTTCTTAACCAAGAATTAAAAAACCATGAGCAATATCTAAAATTTATTTTGAATTGGTGTTTAATCATTTAGCTATTGTTTATGTGGATATGAGGGTATTTGCGATGAAGTAATATTAATTATAGACTTCAATAAAAGTCAAAATTAAGGTACATAAGTAATCCAATTTATCGTGTACTAATAGATTGATAAATTCGTTTATAATCTTTAAAAATATATAAAGGTACATTTACACAGGTCACTTTGAATGACTGTCGTGGGTGATCCGTAGGAAATTGATCGGAAATTCATTTTATGTTTACAATTGTGATGACATTGATTAGGTATACTTTTATACCTATTTATTTAATTTTAAAATGTGAAATTGCATTGCAGGTTGGAGTCCAATATTCAACAACTTCCACCTTTAAAAAATATATATTTTTACGTTTAGTAATAAAAAGCAGAGGCTTTATTATTATTATTTCATAAAGGCTGGTTTCTTGAAGCAATGTTTTAATATTTTTGAGCTACGGTCGTCGTTAAAAAAGGAAATGTTGCGTTTATTAGTACTTACAATTATTATTCAATATTCAATCACTGCAGTGAACGTGCGTAGTGTAATGTGTACCTACCTAATAACTTTGTTCCTAACAGTTCCTAAAGCAAACCAAAAACCAAAAGTTTCCAATAAATTAGACACATGCGTCATGCGTATTCCGATATAATAAAACATTGGTTTCTAGTGAATTAGAATCAGTTTGCAACAGTCAGGCACAATCGTATTTGATATTCGATTCAACAATAAATTTTGACTGTTTTGGATTGCTCTACGAGCAATTATTATTTATTATTATTATTATTATTAACACAAGCAGTTGCGCTGCTCTACGCCTACGCTTCATCCACTTGAATTGATCTCGCATGGACAAAAAGGAGAAAAGGTTTACGTCTACTTGCATTCATCATTCATTTCAGATTATTACAATCGACGATTGACGATTTACTTGTTCACTTTTCACATTGCCCAAAGAGCACATACTCATATAGACTATGGCTAATTGCTCTGGATAGTCAACCTTCCTTCATATTTACAACTGTTAATACGCATTATGCTTTCATAATAACGGGTTTCTTTTACCATTACGATTACAATTTTTTTTTAGATTTACAATCTTTTTTTTCTAAATGAGCCATTTGGTGTATATACCTTCTGTTATTATATACATACATATACAAGATTATAGGACTTAATATGTGTTTCTCTGTTTTCCGAGCCCTTACATTTTAGCATAGGCGTAGCTAGGGGGGAGCAGAGGGCACACCACAGAGAGCCCGGTGCCCATCCTAGAAAAATATCTAATATTATCATCTTCTTTGTCACTTCGGTAAGTCGGTGGCTACGAATTTTTTTTTAGAATGAAATTAAAACGTGTTCAAATTTGATATTTCGCTAATAGCGAGCGGAGATAACTTTTTTTTTAAGAAGCCATAAGCTTGCGGGTCTGAGTCCATCCCAAGCGAAAGTTGTAGATACGCCCATGCATTTTAGATTGAATAAACTCGGATGTTCTCTGAGAACTTCTACTTCTTTCAACTAATGCGGGTTAATTATATATTTAATATTATACAGTTTCTTTCTTCCAAATTATTTCCATAATTCTTTTTATTTACAATTATCGACCATTACTATATGTTAAAAATCGTGTAATGGTAACTTTTATTGAAATATTTTTTTGGTATCTACTCATCGAAAAAATAACATCATACTCGTTACTATTTTTTTATAGACTCGGAATTATGAAAATATAAAATTAAAGAGAGATTCTGTTACATATAAAAAATATTTCTTCTGGATATGCATAATCGTTTCTTCTCAATTTATTTGGGTATTTTGCCATCTTACAAAAAATATATAAATATTACACTCAAGCACTAAAAAGATCAGTCATATGTAAATAGTTTTGCCTAACCAAAAATCACACCCAAAACTTATTGATGTGCATTATGCGCGATTTATATTTTCTGTCCGTCTGTTTTTTTTACTGTTGTGAACAAAACTATTTTCATAAAAATAATCCTTGACGCAAGGGTTATTAAATAAATAAAAAAATACTATTAAAACTATGACAGTATGCATGATAAGGGATGTCCAACAGAAATACACAGAAGTGGTTATCGTATATGGATTTCCGCATATCCTTAGGTTGGATATTCATTTGGATAACAAAAGGGAACGATAGTTCTTATCTATTTCTTCTGTTTCTAAATATAAACGTACCTATAGTACAGAGGAGAGCCTTCAAGACAGTTATTAAAAATCTATCAGTGTAAGGGGCACAATAGGCAAAGTATTCAGCACAACAGGGCAAAGGAATAATTGCAGTGGATTTATATGTATGTATAATTAAAATCGCCATTACGGTTATTTATTCGCGCGGCACGCTAGGATCGTAAATAGCGGGGCACATCCAACTGATAAAAATAGTAGGTAATAGCGTTATCTGCAACTAAAAACTCACATTAGCCGGTCGTTCTCTAAACTAAGTTGTGTCTTTTTGTGTAGGTTTTAGTTGTATTCGGTTTATCGTGTCGGTGCAAAATATTAGCTATATCGCGCGCTATCGGCCGGCCACTCGTGCATTTTTACCCAGATAGGGGCATCATTTGCATAAGGCCATAATAAATAAACGAAGTTATCTAGGTGCATGGCGAATATATGCATGGCCGGCTCAGATTACCTAGATTCGATAAGTGCAGCACATATCGCTCCTGCGAAACACGCTGCCCACACGATTGCCTGCCGCTCTACAGGGGAAACGGAGAAGTGCTATTTTTTACTAAAATAAATACAAAATACAGATTTTCGAAGCTGTTGATTGGCAAATTGGAACCGAATTATATTAATATACCTATTAAGGTCAACAGAAAACATAAAATCCGGCCAATATCTGCATTTTTATAGCTTCACCACTTGTTGCAGAAGCAGATTAATACATAAAAATACAACCTTTTTAACAGAGATATAAAAAAAATTCAGTCGATTTCATCATTGCGGTTCCCTTGTGAACATCTTACAAATGTCTCAAGTGCGTAATAACTTTTCACTGGCGTTTTTAAAGTTTTGATAACGTTTCCCTGTGTATATTTTCCCTTTGATTCTATGACCTAAAACGCACATTGCATGAGGGATGCAAATTACCTACGTGTATAGATTTTTTAACCCGCTTTGCATAAAAATATTAGAAATAATCTCAAACACTCCCTCTTTATTTAAGAGAACAATCTTTTTCTAATCGATTGGCGTTTTCTTCACGCACATTGCTATTACATTTAAACGATAAATATAGCGAAAAAATTGCCCAGTCCATACCGCTATTATAAAAAATGGCCGTTGGAAACGCAACTTTAATCGGTCAATTTGGTACGTTGTGAGAGTATTCTTGAAAATACTGATATAAAGCACACAGATGTGACTTTAATGTTCAAAAAATTGGAATGCGTTTGCTATTCTGACATATGAAAGATGTTTTTAAAATTTAAAGGTATCGTAAATTAGTTTTACACATCTGTTTTAATTTAACTGCAGGCTGTTCTCAAAGTACGTTAAGACAAAGTATTAATTTCCTATTTTTTAAAGACCCGTCTAATTCTCGGCATTACTTTCATTAGGGAAGTTTAGGCCTTCTGTCGCTAGGTGGCGATGCGGTTTGCGGTTGACAGTTGACACCACAAAACATATAATACAGGTGACAGTGTTGACTTGACACCGTCAGATAGAGATGGGCGTTGCAGTTCACTTTGCTGAATAGTTCGTTTGTGAACTACTCACTTCAAATAATAGTTCATTTTTACAGTTCGAAATGAACTGTAGTTCTTTTGCCTGGACTCAATTTTACTACATATCTTCCCCACCACGAATGAGCTGCTCAGGTCAGCATCGACACCTGACAGCGGCAGCGGCAATGGTTTGTTTTTAGAATACTGAAATAATTTGTTCGAAATGAATCGTTCACGAACTATACATCTCTCAATTCTTAAATCTCCAGTAGCCAGCGACAGTAGCACGATCCTCATCGCATCACCGGTCGGTTTCGGTTTCAACCTATGATCATAGTATAATCTAGCTAGACGCACGCGCACGTTCGCAGTTCAAAACGAACTATACATTGAAAGAATGATGATACAGTTCGTTCAGTTCGTTGGAAGTGAATAGTTCTTTTCAACTATTCGTTCACGAACTACACATCTCTACCGTCAGATCTAAGAACACGTAACAAGAAAATGAAGTCATTTGTTCCCTGGTTATGTTATACAGACTTAATAAAAAATAATAAAGATAAAGGGTAATTATGTTTTGAAGTCGTCGATCACCATGTTCCTTAGATCCCGATGGCCTACAAATGTCAAAATTTGTGGCAACCGTGTCTTTAAGTTATCTGGTAAGGTATCTAAGGCACAGAAGATAGAACACTCAGAATTATATGTCGTTGTCGGCACCTTTGACAACTTACATCTTTTGTCAGTGACCCTGAATGACATAAAATCCCCACTTTTGGTATACAAAGTCAGGATTGTATTCAGTGAAATTATATTGCACTAAACGGGTATGTACTAACAAAGAAGCTTAATAATTATCCAAATTAATATACATCCTGAATTCTTGTTGGCCTAACAATAGTCTTAACAAAGATGTCCTCATTTATTGGAATTTTTTCTTCAGGTAATCTCCTTGCGAAAAAAATTAATAGATACTATTTATACTCGTTTGTAGAACAGGATTTTTTTAGGAAAAAATTTGTTGAACTTATTTGAATTGGCTAGAACGTTTATAACAGAATAAAAAATATGAGAGCTAATAATAAAAAATATTTATTTATAAAAAAGAATTTAGTAAAAGGAGCAAATATTGATTAGACAAAAAACTATTTACATTAATCTAGTCATATTCAACACTTTTAATAGGTAATGTTGTTTCAAAACGTATTTTTTTATGTTTTGTGTTTTTCATGTATCATTTTGTTTTATTAATATTTGTTAATTCCATTTGGAAGCACACGTATTTGAAGATACAATCCTAATAAAATGTGCGATGGTAAGCTATAGTTGCTATCTATCAAGACCAATATGAAGGTAATATTACAACAAAAACACAAAGATATTTCTTTGAAAGGTTGCATTATTTATCAATTTCAGTACATCATTTACCAGGTATGTATTAGCTATGTATTTACTAGATATTGCTGGTATAATTTAATGCTAGTCAGAGCAGGTGCATATAGCGAAGTTGTTTCCTGCAATATCAACAGTTAGGAATCTTTCGCATACTTATACATTTGTGATTTCAAAGACCATTGTCTAGGATTTAGGAATTTTTTTAAAAATATATTTGAACTAGTGTTAACCATAAAATATATATTTTTAAAAAGGATTGAGGTGATTTTTTTCCTACCAGTTCGATGTTAGGATTCCCAGGAGTCTCAAATGTTTTCTGACTTTTTTTGTTTGTTTAAAAAGTGTTTTAATGTATCAAATCAACGATCTTTTCGATTACCATGTTGCCATTAATGGCACTGATCTATTGATCACAATAAATACCATCGAATTTTGACGATAATGAATTTAAGAATTGTGAGAACAGATTTGTGTGCCTAGCAAATGCTCTATTAATGGGGATGAACAAAGAGGGGGTTTTTATAAAAACACAAATAGAAATAAATAATTTATTGTCTCCATGAAAGGTAATCATCACTGCGTGTAACCTTGGGTAGGCGTTTTGAACGCCTCACAGCTATAATAACATAGATTCACTTGTACGATAACTATTTCAGATTGCAAAATGTAAATCTTACCTAAACAATAGTCAATAAAAAGCCTATATGCAACTATATATCAGAATTATAAAAAAAACCAACGTAAAGACAACTAATTACACTTAATAATGAAAAATGCTTTGGCATAATATATTTTAATTTATTCTACAAACTTATAATTAAACAAATTATAAATCTTTTATAACTTTATACAAAACAAAATCTAGAAGTTATTAGGTATACTTTTATACATATATGGAATATTGATTATGTAACATATTGCAATGGATTTTTTAAACGACCGCCATTAACGATCAACATTGATAACAATTATTTGGCAGGTGCGCTAACATTTCCTCAACATCGCTTTGTTCCACTTTACAGATATCGGTAACATATTTAACGGCTTAACATGCAAGGTAATATTTTTTATATTCCGGCCTGTAACTTAAGCAACCAAAATCCACAGGTTGAGGATAACATTACGTGTAAAGTATGTGAAGATTTTTTTAGGCAGTTTAAAATATCGCATATAATTTCATTAAAATATCAAATATCTTAAACAAAGACATCGATCACAAAAAATATTTGAGAGGCCTGCATTACAGGCCGGAGTGTTAAGGCAGTTTGTATTAAAGTTAACAAAGATACAGAACTTATTTTCGAAATACATTCTGAGAGATTCTTTCACTGTTGGTCAATTCAATGTCTTCCTTATGCTTTAGCAGACTCGGGGAGAAATGTTAAGGCACCGAACCATATTTACGCGTATACAAGAGGACTGGCCCAGTTATAACACTCAAAGAAATCACTTTGTTTGAGTCTATCCTAATCTAACAACTGACTCAACTACAGAACTGACGCCTCAGCGGCGCGGGTGGTTGGATTATTATTGTTATTCGCCGACGCCGCCGTGATTTCCCCCGCGTGGCTCGAACAGTAAAATTTCTTGTGTGCCACGAACGTGGAATAGTAATTGAAGGAAATGTCGCAGGATTTGCAGTATTTGGCGCCGGATTTCGACGCCTCCTGCAGGATCTCCTCCTCGGCGGTCTTTATTTTCGAGGCGGTGGATGGATCGAGTACTTCTTCTTTTATGATCGGCTCTTCGACCGGAGCAATGATAACTTCCGGCTCTATGGCCTCCTTCTTCACTAGGATCTCCTCGTCGTCCTCTAGGACAGGCATGGACCGCACGGTTTTGTCCTCTGAACCATTCACGACGGATTCGTCAACGGTCGGGGCCTCGTGGACGAGACGGATGTGTCTGAGGACGTTGGCTTTGTAAGCGGAACTGTAGGAGCACTGGGAACAGTGGTGGAGTGCTTCCGGATGGCCTTCCGAGCTGGGGGAGACGGCCCGGTCGTCTAGGACGGCGGGGACGGCGGACGAGGTCACGCTCACCTCCATAGTATTCGAACTTTCGTCCTCCAGGATGTAGGAGATGTACTTTTCTTCCTGGAAGAAGGAAAGTATCAGTGAATGTTTTTTGGGAGAAATATCAATGTACTCAAATTAAACGATTTTAATTATAATTTGCTAATTAGCGCAAATTGGGAAACCATTTTTCGTTTTATAAAAATATTTTACCGAAATAGTTATCAGGTTATCCCTTAATTCGACTGCCAAACTTCTAACTGCTACGGGGTGTTCCTAGGAAAATGTAAGGTTAGATCCTCTAATATGAAAGAGTAATTGAAAAATTTTGTGTCATGTGACACCAAGGAAAACTCGTCAAAGAAAGCTGTGATATTCACCTTTTACGTGTAAAATAACTGTGTCTATACTCCACGGCCGAAATTATAGCGAGTGATTCATACATGGTATAGAAACACTATTACCGTAAAGTGTATAAAACTTAAAATGATTTTTATAACGGTTTAATATTACTTGCTTATGTTAAATGACGTACCCGCTCTCTTTGCACATCGATAGGATCTATAACAGTCATAGACTGAGTTACACCGAACGCGATTTATTTCCTATCTCTGTCTATCGCACTTATTACAGATAGGGAAATGCTCTTTTTAGTGGGTGTAAACGGACGTACGTAGAATTCGAGTTAGCCGTAGTTAGAAACGTCAAACTATAAGCGCGCGCGAGGGTTTGCATACTCCGTGACTATAGTAAATTTATAAATTAAAAAAATACAATCGGGACGTTTTAAAACGTAGGAATAATAATTAAAATGGATCAAAGTGCCGGTTGTAGCAAACGGTCTGTTGCTCATAAACGCCCTAACCTATGCGATGCGGAATTAATAATGGTAAAAAACGTGTATAAAGGAATTCGGTCGCGAAATTCTAATACAAGTGTAAGTGAAGCTGTTGATATGTGTAGTTCGTTGACAAAAGTATCCGTTGCTACTGTTTATCGTGCCATAAAAAATAGTGTAGAAGTGAATCCAAAGAAGAAAAAAGTGGAAACACGAGGGAGGAAGAAAATAGAAGTCGACGTTGACGTGAAATACTCCATACGTAGGAAAATTCATGGATTTTTCTTTAGAAATGAAATACCAACGATAAAGAAAATTCAAGCTGCAATAGCTGAAGATGAGGATATTCCTAATTTCTCTGATAAGGTTCTTAGAAGAATAATGCGTGACATGAATTTTCGATATTTGAAACGGAATCGGAATAGTATGCTCGTTGAAAAAGACGAAATTGTGGTATGGCGAAGAGAATACTTAGAAAAAATAAGAGAACTTCGTGCATCTGGTAAGAAGATATATTACATGGATGAAACATGGGTAAACGAAGGTCATACTGTATCAAAAGTTTGGCAGGATGGTAATGTTAAGAGTAAGAGACAAGCATTTTTAGATGGATTTTCTACTGGATTAAAGGCACCTTCTGGAAAAGGACGAAGATTGATTATAACACATATTGGAAGCGATACGGGATTTTTAGAAAATGGTTTGCATGTATTTGAGTCACGAAAAACGGGAGATTATCATGAAGATATGAACAGCGACGTGTTTGAAAAATGGTTTGAATATGTTTTATCATATCTGGAGCCAGGAGCAGTTGTTGTGATGGATAACGCACCTTATCATAGTAGAAGAGTTGAAATGTTACCGACATCAGCATGGAGAAAAGGAAATATTATGGACTGGTTACAATCGAAAAATATTGAATATACAGAAACCATGCTAAAAGTACAATTATTAAAAATTGTCCAAAGAGAAAAAGGTCAATACATTAAGTATGTAGTGGATGAGATGGCCAAAGATCGAGGAATTCGTGTACTCCGTTTACCGCCATACCACTGTGAATTAAACCCAATTGAGTTGGTTTGGGCACAAATAAAGAATGAAATCGCACGAAAAAACACCACCTTTAAAATAAACGACGTGAAATTATTATTACAGGATGCTATTAATCACGTCACTGCTGAAACATGGTGTAAGTGTATTGGACATGCACAGAAAGAGGAACAACGTATGTGGGATCTTGATACAACGGTAGAAGTGTTCATAGAACCAGTCATTATTCATTTGGGTGAAGATGATTCTAGTGATAGTGATAGCAACAGTGATATGTGAAATATATAATGTGAATAATGTGATATGTAAGTATTTAAATATATTAATAGTGAAGTGATTATGTGGCAGTGAAGTGAAAGTGATAATATTCGTGAGATAATTATTATAAAATATGTAAGTGTCTACTTAAATAAATATATTAATAGTAAAGATTACAATATTTTGAGGCGGCGTCAGCCGGGTAGTGGTGGGTTATCGATGCCCAAGAGGGCATAGTTTTATAGAAAACACTTAAAATATTTTTGAAGTTTTCTCGATAAAACCTCTAAAAATATTAGATGTTATGTTTTATTATCTTTTTTCAATATTTGCACGCCTCATCCTCCTTACTAGTCCAAGAGCTAGCGATGAGTCACTGTCTATAATTTCGACCGTGGAGTATAAATACTAAATATGACTAATTAAGATAATGCACATTAATTAGTTTGTATTCACTAGTAGGTACGTACTATATGTTTATTTTGTAGTACTACGACACAATAAATATTCTGTTTCTCTTTACAATTTGTTTACTCTTTTTTTATTATTTGGGTACCTATAATTCGTTGGAAGTGTTAAATAATCGTTTATTTTAATATTTATGCATTTATTTGCAAGTGTGATGGACGTCACAGTTTTCTTTGACGTGTTACGCTTGGTAATAATTGGCATGTGATGACATATTTTATAATGTAACTCGAAAACTATCTACTACTACTATCACTCTTTTATATTAGAAGATCTAAATTTACATTTTCCAAGTGACAAAACGAATCGACGTATTTTTATCAAGGTGGCTATGAAAAATTGGATCCCACGCAACGCATTTGTTTGCGAATATGTAAGAATTTTTTTATTCATATCTAATGATCATTTTACGTTGGTTGTTGACTTTTATAAATAACACTTTCAACTTTTATAATTGGATTTTTAATCCTGTTAATAATCTGTTAAAATAGTATTGAGGGTTATGTTTTGGATTATCGCCACATTCTCGTACTTGACCTCAAAAAAATTACAGATTAACTGAGAGCGTTCGAGAGGAAAGTTGGATCGATTACCGAAACGGGGACCTCTATTATTTGTATGCTACTTTAATGATATTTTTATATACCTGAAGGTCTGGAGATCTCTTATCAAAGTGCATCCGGATGTGCGTCCTCATCCCTCTGAGGGTGTTCCCCTTATACTTGCAAATTGTGCATCGGTACGCCTTCACGCCCGTATGAGAGTCCATGTGCCTTTGGGCGGCGCTGGCGGTGGGACTGATGACGTCACAGCAAGGGCACTTCCACCCCGCCAGGGCCGCGTGCGGGACGCACTGGTGTCCCGGTTCCGCGATCCCTCTGCACTTCCCGCACTTCCTCAAATCCATTTCTCCCCTCTTCAAACAGTAATAGGCCTGGTGCGCGTTGAGATTGTCCAGAGAGGTGAATTTGATGCCGCACGCCAAGCAGATGAGCTGCTGGTACTGCCCCGCCGGGCTGGTGGTGCCCGTGCTTCTCGGACTGACCGGGGGACTACCGGATGTCTTGGAGCTTTCTTCCTCGAGAGTCCTAGCGGAACAGTAGTGCTTTTTGTGGATGACGTAGTTCTCTTGTTTGCAGAAGACGATGTTGCAGTCCTTGCATTTTGAAACTCCTTGCTTGACTAACACCTGCGGCATCACCGGCGGAAGAGGAGGTAGCTCCGAGAGGCGCATTTGGACTTCGGAGGTAAACAAGGGCAGAGTTCCGGCGCGCATCAGCAAGGGATGGAGAGAAGGGGGAATATCGAATTGTGGGGCTACGCTTGCGTCTGGACTAGTTCTAGTCTTTTCCATGCTAGGTGTAGATTTAGGAGTCGGTCTGGACTGTTTGGGACTGCTACTGCGAGAGGTTTCGTCGTGCTTCCTTTTGGGAGAGATACTTAGCGCAGGAGAAGCGCCTACGTGAGATATAGGTGTCGACGATGGAGAGCCGTGCAGCGAAGGCACGCATTCGATCTTTTCCGGTGTGGGTGAACGCTTGACGTTCTCTTTCTCTTGCTCATCGCCGAGATCGATAACCAGATCTTTTGGTTCCGGAGATTTCCTTACGCTTAAGTCTAGAGGTGCGGAGGAGGTTTCCCTGATGACGGATGATTCTTTGGGTTTGTTTGCTGTCTTGAGTACTTCCGGCTGTTGAGTTGTTTGGGTGTTTGGGGCTATGGCGCTCGTCATCGGCTGAAGTGTGCCGTTGGGTAAGAGGAAACATGGCATGTCAGGATTTGGAAGACCCGCAGCTGAAGACAGACTAGGCAGAACGCTGGCGCTACGAAACAGAGAATATGGCACGATTATAATAGGGTTGGTTGGTAACGCCAAGAAGGGCTGTTGTGGTGGAATTGGCGGCGCCGGAGATGGGGGCGTTCTGCACGAAGCGGTGTCCACGGGAGACGTCGGCGAAGAACCAGACGTGCAACTGGAAGTTGTCTTGGTAGCAGGCATCGTCGAAGACTTAACCATATGTCTGGAGTTGCAGTAGTGCATCTTGTGGGCGCGGAATGTTTTCTGTGAACTGAATCTAATGTCGCATTCCGCGCAATATCGGTCTGGATTCTCGCTGTTCGGTTCACCGTTCGATATCGCCGCTGCGGTATTTAAAGGACTAGGACTAGGAGATACTGTGTGCATCCGCATGTGGCGATTCAGGCTCACTTTCTTGTCGGCGCTGTACGAACACTGATTGCAAGTGTACTGCTTTCCAGTACGAATGCTCTTTATGGATGGTTCAGAAGGATCGACGTCCGATTGATTCCCACTTGGTTCGGCTCCGGTCGACTTGGAGTCATCATCATTGTTGGACTTGTTGATCCGGTGGGAGCAGTAATATGTCTGGTGAGCTTCTAAGGTACTCAAAGAAGAGAAACGAATGCCGCAAGGTGGGCACTGAAAAATCGGAAGTGTAGGTTGTCTTGGCTCGGCGGAATCCGTCTGTCGAGGCACAGCTTCTGGTGCAGGGATCAAATTCGGTAAGAAAAACCCTCGTGACACGAGGGCGGACTGTATGGCAGGAGGCAGGGCAGCCAAGTATTCGCTCGGAGACTGGCTGGTTTCTAATTCCGTCTTCAGATTTGCTACGGATATTAGAGGTTGAGATTGTAGTGCGGGATCAGTGGCTAGGTTGGTTTTTAACCGAATATAAGGGGTTTTCCCTTCTGGCTCGGTTTTGGAGGGAGTCTTTCCATTCTCTTCGGAGGGGTGGTCTGGAGTCTTGCTTTTCGCTGGTGGAGAGCCGGGAGTGGGACCTTCCGAGGTGGTGGTATCGGCCGGATCGCTAGTCCAATCTTCCACCTCCCCTGCAACAAGACAAAATGTTAATGTGAGTGTTGGTTTACTCGGAGACGCGGGGCGCGATGCGATCTGAGGCGGGTATTCGATACTGGCGGGTGATAAACTAATAAAATACTGCCCGGGCACTGTAAATAATGGGCGAGTGCGGATAGATGGGAACACAGCAGAACAGAACAGGTTGGTACAAATGCACGGGTGATAAGAGCGAGCAGTACACGGGTCGCGCATGTCGGGGCTCTCCTCTAATGAAGCAGTCCGTCAGAGCGGCCCACGCGGCCACTCTACGGCCTCTCCGACGCCCGTACATCACATCAACACTCCGATATGGGCCTATCACGCGGCTCGCTTTCAATAATCATTATTAACTGCCCGCCGCCACCTGAGACGTATTCCAATGATTTGCTACACTTGCTCAAACTGCTGAAATAACTTTCGGCCTCGTAACCCATCAATTTATTTTTTAATTTTCAAAACGGAACATACGTTTTACATGGGTATTTTCAGGAATAGTTGCATTATAATTTTTTAGACACCTAAACTGGTCTGTGATTGTAAATAAAAAAAATGGAATATGTAATAAATATATTTATGCCCTAAACAATAGTTATTAATACCGTTTTTTAAGTAATTTGAGAGTTTTCATATATTTTAATGTATCTTAGAGGAAGTTTTATACAGACTGAAACGACTGTGACATTTTTTATAACATAGAAGTTAGATTTTCCTCTTTTCAAAAATATATAATACCTATGTTACTATTTGATTCAGGACTTTTCGACATATTTACAGTTTAAAACTATTTTTGAAAAAACAGGAGGGAAATTTATGTTTGACGGATCGCAGTGGCTATGGACGATGTACGCGGAACAAACAAATGACTTTGACAGATTATAGTGACTAACCCTGTACATATTTCATATCTAAACATTTAGAATTTTAATATTCCTTGTTGAGGAAAGTTATTCTCATTTTCAACAGATTATCTGCGAAATATTAATTCTTTAGCGAGAATGCGAGGTTCACTTGTTGATTTGGAAACACTACAATGAAAATACGGGCCTATCTGAACTTACGCGTAAGCAATGGATCCATAAATTACAAGCAACATAATAATTAATCGATAAACGAGAAACTTCGCATGGAAACCTGTTCGGGAGCCTCCCACACGGCGGAGCCTAAAATATAATGTCAATTTGAAAACAATAGTAATAACGCAAGGCAAAAATGCCGATGGCAAGGCAGATTAAAGATATTAGGAATTAATAAGACCGCGGATGGGAATTCTCGCGAACGATAGGGATCTTTAATTAGAGTTTGGAATGTGTAAGTCGGTAAGATTGGAATCGACGTATAGCTGTAGTGCAGGCAAGTACGTACGAACGGCTTTGGGTTCGGTAGGCCGTATATGCGAGCGTCTTTATAGGGACTGGCGTCGAGGAATAGAAATTTTAGAGGTATCGGATACGAGAAAATTCTTATTACGCTCGATTTTTCACCAAACTTTCGAAAAATTATGTGAAAAAAACTGTAACGTCTTCCGTAATCTTTAAGTTATGTCATAAAAAAATACGTTAAGCAACTTTTTCAATAGAAATCAATTTCTTTTTTGCTATGACACACTGATGAGGACTAATAAGTCCGAAACCGGTCTGTGCTTGGTGTTAAACTGATGACAATCGATCCTAGCTGTTGCACTAGGTGTTGCGAGTATAATTCAACGCCGGTAGGAGCATATAGCTCTCGGAGTAGTTGTTTCTCGTGGCACTGACAACTCAAACATTGTGTTACGCCCTCTGTGGGTGGCAGTCGTGCAACAAAGTACCTGCAGTTAGCAGGTCGCTTCCTACTGTAGTCATTTGAATGGCACAGTTGGGATTCTGCACGACAGATGGAGCCATTGGTTCCCGCGTACAATCCACTTTTTTGCACGTTTAGGGGACATCTTTACTGAATTTGTTGAGACATTTGTAAGTGACGTTTACAAATTAGTGACAGATAAGCGATTACTTACTAATCCAATAAATGTAGAATTTTAAAAATCTATTTTTATTAAAGATAAAATTAAAATTACAATTTGAACAACTATTAAAATTTATTGAAGCAATAGAATTCGGGTTTAAAACAATGTTTGTGTTGAGCATGTATTTAGCCCATAAGTTTCCTGGAGACTTTAGGGTTTCATTAGGGAAATACTTTGTATTACAAAAATTATTCAAAATTTAACGATCTTTCAAATGGACTGCACATCCACGTTCCAGGGATCAAAACATTTTTTAGTATCGCCACGCCATCTATACAGAAAGATTTGAACTAACAGTTCTAATAGGATCGACTCCGAATAAAATATTTATTTCATTACTGAAAAATGAAAAGTTTTGTGATGTTATCCCCGGTTTCCCCAGCCACGGTATGCAACTCACAACTATCTTCGCTTTTCTTTGATTGCACGTCTAGGGGGTTGTAAAATATTATTATTTGAACATTTAGAGCACAATTTTCAACTTTATGCCGGAAAAAAATTCTACCTCATCTAAATGTTCGTGTTCACAAAAAATTCGAAATACGTCGGCGAGAGGGACCTATAAACAGTTAAGAACCACTTTCGTTTTTCTTCGGTTGCCCGTCTAGAGGGTTGTAAATATTATTATTTGAACATTTAGAGCAGAATTTTCAAATTTATGCTGACAAAAAAAATTCTACCCCATCTAAACGTTCCCGTCCACAAAAATTTCGAAATACGTGGCGAGAGGGACCTATAGGCAATTTATTTAAATAATAATATTTTACAAGCCCCTAGACGGGCAACCAAAGAAAAACGAGGGTGGTTCTGAGTTGCTTCAAATAAGTAACTACAACTAACTAACAAAGTACTACTGGCACATACACGTCGTCGCATACATTCACAAGTACCGAGTCATTGAGAAAAATCCGAAAATGTATTTAGGTATTCCAAGTCATTCTATGTTTATAATAAATACGTTGTGTGAAAAATGCATTTCAACAAGACTTGCTGTATATCTCCTATACACTCTCTATTTATACACTTAAAACTATAGGTATATAATATAGGTAAAAGTAAAAGTATAGCAAATATCTACACATCTCTCTGACTGCTCGCGACTTGATCGCCGAGTAGCCGGTATCGTGACGTCATTACCTGTTCTCCCGCAGTGTTGACCTTTTTAAGGGTCTTACAAATTCAGAATTAAATATATCACTTATTATTAATTCTATTGACCTAATTTTTTTAAGATATATTTATATGGTTAGATACTATCAGAAAATGAAAGAAAAAGTTTAAAATTATATATCACTGAATGGGCCTATTGCAATTTGAAGTTATTCGAGGGACCTAACAACCTCAGTTTTCGGAACTAAAATAAATTTCTTCATTTTGGAGATATTGGCAGCGGGACTGTTAACACACCCTGTATTTTTATTTTCGATCCCTGCGTTCTAAAAACAAATGGTAAAAAAATGGTAATAATTTTGAACAATTTTTGTAGAACATTATTATAAATCTCTTCTTTTGCAACTTTTATATAAACCACTAAAAAGGTAGGCAAGTCCGCTGACTTGACCTTTCTCTGGAGCCTTCTGCCTCGGGCCGCGTCAAGTTTTATCGCCAATGTTGCGTCTTTATTTTTTTTTAGGAGTTGCAGCATTTTATTATTTTTTAAGGGTTCTTTAATTTTTACAACGTACTGATAATACTGCCCTGTCTCTTATGTACATATATAATATTGATAACATCGAACTCTTGTTAATTACTTGCTGCCAGACTAAGTCAATATGTGTTCGGCCAATAAAGGACAGGGTAAACCGGAATATACGAGGTGTCAATCACAAAGTGGTCTGTCCTGAATTGGGGCTTATGAAGCCTACCAAGATTATACGGTTTTAACACTCGTTTAAGAGCCTAGTTATATATAGACCTTAAGCCTTGTCGACCGGCTACAAGACATGTAGTTAAGTTCTTTAATTGACCGAGAAGTTAAAAAATAAGTCAAAAACATAATTACATGTATGAAGCAAAGAGTGTTATGGAATACATTTTTATTTTTATTCGATATTAGATCGAGTTGTAGATAATTAAAATTTCACTGTTCGGGAGTATTTAATAACTTATCTTGATCGAAAAAATGCAAAGGATTTTTTTATTTAATGGTTAATTCTGTTCTTCGACCATACGGAATACTAACAAGAAAAAAATTGTAAACTACTTAAATAGGTCAATCGATTACTGACAAATGTACGTTATAAAAGTGAGTCAAATAATACAAGGTGCTTTCAAAAATAAACAGGACTTTTCAAAAATAGGTATTTCCAGTGAGGCCATCTATTGGCAGTTACATGCGTCGGCATGGTAGATCCTCCACTGTCGAAATATCATGACATTTGAATGAATAGAAGCTGGGTTATTGCGTTTGAAGTGACAGTATGTTAGAGTCATCGGTACAAAAATTAGCATCGAATAAAGAGCTAATACATATTTTTTTAATTTTAAATACACCATAACTTCTATATTTAATTGTTATAATTAAATTATATGACTTCGAAACTTTACTATTGATTATTGTATAAATCTCTTTTGAAGTTGATAATACGCAAAAAATATAGTTGTGAATTTAATTAATTGTAAAATAAGATGAGTACCTACTTCAATATTTAACAAAACAAATACAAAACTGTAGATAATAATAGTAATATAGGTACGTTATATGTAATTAAAAACTATTTCAAGAAACGGTAGAAAAAGCGACGAAATGTAAAAAAGTGAAGTTGTGGAACTTAAGAATAAAAATAGCATATACCAAATGTAATAGATACTCTAAAACGAACGAATTATATTTATAATAGAGATTATTTTCCAAAAACTGACAAAAGCTATAATTTGTTTACAAGGTATACAATATAGGTTTAGTGTTCATAAAAATTCTGCAAGCAACCAATAAAATATAATGAATAATAGTTATTTACACAATAAAGGAGGTAAGTCGAGGAC